CCGATCAACAACTTACTAAGGATACTAACTTACTAAGGATAATTAAATTGGGGCGTAGCTTATTGGCGAAATAAAGGATTCTCAAAACAATAAGGAATTAGGCTTTATTAAAACAATAGCGTTTCTAAATTGATTTTGACTTCATTTCAGTATTAATTTTTAAAAAATGGAATTTGCTTAAAAAATTGACAATTCAGGTGACTTTCAGTAAGCGTATTTGAGACAAAGCGTATCATATCAGTACTCATTTTATGCGAAATTTACCGATCAACAACTTACTAAGGATACTAACTTACTAAGGATAATTAAATTGGGGCGTAGCTTATTGGCGAAATAAAGGATTCTCAAAACAATAAGGAATTAGGCTTTATTAAAACAATAGCGTTTCTAAATTGATTTTGACTTCATTTCAGTATTAATTTTTAAAAAATGGAATTTGCTTAAAAAATTGACAATTCAGGTGACTTTCAGTAAGCGTATTTGAGACAAAGCGTATCATATCAGTACTCATTTTATGCGAAATTTACCGATCAACAACTTACTAAGGATACTAACTTACTNGTTAGTTAAAAATAGTTAAGTAAAAAATGTTACAATTGACCCCACTCTCCCCTACTCATTTAATGCGAAATTTACCGATCTACAACTTTTATACGCTTTTTTAATACAGAGCGTTGTTGCTGATATATCTTGGAAAAAACCACAAACACACCTTACTTCAGGTCAAATTTTTGACCTAGGAGCTGATGCTTACCTCACCGGAGGGGGGAAAAATCTAACTCATTTTGAAACAATACCAAAGTAGTCGAAAAAAAGAAAAGTCTGATGGCAATTTTTGCGAATTGTGACCCCTAACTTCTAGCATGTAAGAAAAAACAAAGGATTGTTTCGGGCTACCCTAAATTGCGAAAAAAAAGTAAGTGCCATTCAATTCAACAAATTCTAAAGAAATTAGATAAAGCATCGATGACAGATCGTGTAATTGGATGTCCAAAGTGTTACTCAGGGATTAAATCAGGTGGAGTTCAAGGTCTGATGTTTCACGCTTGTTATCAACTAAATGTTAATTGTTTACTATGTATGGTGCAATACAATCAAAAATACCGTTCGTGGTAAAGTGAGCACGCTGCAGTTGGGGTAAAATGAAGAGTGCCAGTGTCACCTAAATTAGTTTTATTTATTACTTTGACACGCATTGCAAGGTCCTATTTGCATTTTATCATGTGAAAGAGAAGAAAATTAAAGACCTTGAACCAACAAGAGTCATTGGCAATTCCGAGAGAGCTTTCGAATATAAGATATAGAAGGAATTTTTTACCAAAAACATTGGATTTTGCGAACACGAAATATGATTCTTCAAAATGACGTCGGTGTGCTTTTAATGTTGGTCATAACTCAAAATGCGTGTTTAAGAAAATGGACACAAATCAAAAGGCGTGTTTATAAAAACAGAAACAGCTCAAAATATGCGTTAATACGGACGTTAATATGCGTTAATAAAAATATGCGGACATATCTTTTTAAGGAAATGGAAACTGCTCAAAATGTACGTTAAAAATAATGGACGTAGCTTTTTTAAGAAAATGTACATAGCTCAAAATGCGTGTTTAAGAAAATGGACACAGATCAAAAGGCTTGTTTAAAAAAACCGAAACAGCTCAAAATATGCGTTAAATGGACATATCTTTTTAAGAATGGAAACTGCTCAAAATGCGCGTTAAAAATAATGGACAAAGCTTTTTTAAGAAAATGTACATAGCTCAAAATGCGTGTTAAAAATAATGTACGTAGCTTTTCTAAGAAAATATACATAGCTCAAAATGCGAGTTTAAAATAATGGACATAGTTTTTTTTAAGAAAATAGAATAGCTCAAAATGCGCATTTAAGATAATGGGCATTGCTTTTTAAGAAATGGGCACAGTTTAAAATAATGGACACAGCTTTTTAAGAAAATGGGCATAGCTCAAAATGTAATTAAATATATCCGTATTAAATAAAAATATGTAGCTTAAAATGCACGTTTAAGGGAAAAAACAAGTGGACAACACATTTTATTCTGTCTTTCAAACTACATTCATGGCCATTGTATTTTAAAAGAATTAGTTAGAGATTTAAATAAATTCGTAATGTATAAATCAATTTGTACAGTGCGCAAAATAAAAATCAGGAGACCCTTATAACTTTTGTGCTAATCAATTATGCAATGCATGCAATCTTAATCATTCGAAGGGATCACCTTAAGGGGACGCCATATCACTGGAGAAACTTTTCATTGCAAATTTTCTTTCACTTTCATAACTAATTTAAATTTTAATGCATAGAAAAAGTGACTTCAGACAAACCTAGAGTAAGCCACGAGGTTTCAAATACTGAACAGAAAATTTTAAGCATCAAAATGAAAATAAATTATGAGAAGATAACTTAGGATTACGCAGTTCTCTTCCAATAATTTGTTTGCACTTTAATATTTTGAAACTTTTTTTCAGCAATTGAAACTTCATGGGCTAATAAATTAAATATTAATTAATTTAATTTTAATTTACATTTTACTAATGACTAATTTAAATTTTAAAGCATAGAAAAAGTGAGTTCAGACAAGCCCAGAGTAAGCCATGAAGTTTCAAATACTGAACAGAAAATTTTAAAGCATCAAAATGAAAATAAATTATGAGAAGATAACTTAGGGTTACGCAGTTCTCTTCCAATAATTTGTTTGCACTTTATTTTGAAACTTTTTTTCAGCAATTGAAACTTCATGGCCTAATAAATTAAATATTAATTAATTTACATTTTACTAATGACTAATTTAAATTTTAAAGCATAGAAAAAGTGAGTTCAGACAAGCCTAGAGTAAGCCATGAAGTTTCAAATACTGAACAGAAAATTTTAAAGCAGCAAAATGAAAATAAATTATGAGAAGATAACTTAGGATTACGCAGTTCTCTTCCAATAATTTGCTTGCATTTTAACATTTTGAAACTTTTTTTCAGCAATCGAAACGTCATAGCTTACTCTAGGTTAGCATCAACTCATTTTTTTTCTTTCTTTTGAATTTTAAATTAGTAATGGAAGTGAAAAAGAATTAGTGACGGAAAGTTTCTCCCATGGTATGGCGTCCTCTTAATATGCTAATTACTAAGAGCAGACGACATTTTAAGTAACGAAATCAGACACAAAAACGTAATTTCCTGAATAAAGATATTTACCTTTTTTTCGACAAATTCGGATTATAAACCTTAAAAATAGGGGGGGGTCGTAACCTGGAAAATAAGGTCCCAATAGTTTTCTCGGAGAGCGATCAAAAATTGGGTCTCCTTCGTGTCTATTTACTTTTTGTGTATTTCACTATGTCTATGGAACTATAACGGCGAACATTTTTTAGCACAGAATTCTAAAAGTCTTTTATTCACTATAAATATCTAAAAAAAAAAATTTCTAAATTTTCGTAATTTTTTCTAATTTATTTTTAAATTTTGACCGAAAATATTGAATTTTAAAGAATATAAATTTTTACATAATTGATATTTATGTTATCTAAGAAGACAAAATCAAAACTTTCTCGAGAATCGATCAAAAAGTTTCCGCGTTATTTAATTTTTTCTTTTTTTTAAAAAATCGTATTTTCAAATTTGCATGACTCAAAAACTATTCGAAAAATTCTGCTCAAATTTTAGATTTTGTCACTAAAAATAACACAATTTGAAATTATGCGAAAATTGGAATACTTTGCAATTCGAAGTTTGACATTTCTTATTAAAATAATACCTATCGATAAACAAATGTTGTAATTATATTTTTTAAAAATTTATTCGCTTAAATAGTTCATTGATGTGACGAAATACGTAAAAAATAAGTATTTAAGGTATTAACTGTAAACTGTTCTCTAGGCAATATATTTGGAAGTATAGTGACCAAATTATGGGTCCTCCCTACATTTTGAGGTTCAACAATCCAAAGCCATCAAAAATAAGGCATATTTATTCAGATTAGGGACGTTTTTGTCTAATTTATTTTGACAAATGAATTTGTTGAATCAACATCATATATATATATTTAAATATATATACATGCATATATATTTGAATTTTTGATGTTTTTAAGAAACAGATTTGATACAGAAATATTTACTCTAATGTGTGATGCTATTTAACAGATTTTCTCCACTATTTCTTAACATTTTTTGAAACAAAAAATTTAGCAACTTTTCTGCAAAATTTGTTTATAAATTACTGGGAAAAATATTTTACATATCAAATTTCTCTAAAGTTTTTATAACAGAATCTTTTAGTTTCCATGTTCTAAAAAAATATCTATAAAGTAATAAGGGTTGAAACATCTAAACTAATTTTAAAACCACCAAGAATTTTAATTTTATTTGAAAAATTTTTTAGAATTTAAATGCAGCTATAGCTTGATTCGTTCAAAAAATATTTTTAAAATACTTGTTTCAATAAAACTTAAGATTATCATAGGAAAAATTGTCAAGATGTTTTCTAACAATGATGAAGGGTTGCCTAGGGAAATAAGCAGATTAATAAATCTTTCAAACTTAATTTATGCCATCAATTAAATATTTTACAGGATTATTAATAAATCGCCTAGTCTAAAGAGAAACCTTGCTGTACAGAGTTTGAGACTTCACTTGCAAAAGTTGAATTCTGGGTTCTTTTTAATACAGATGTTGACATAGGCCATTAAGGCAAAGGGTGCGTTTGTTCTTGTTTTCCACTGGCGCCATCTATGGCCAAAAATTCGACTTCTGCCACGCCCATACGTCATCACCCATAGTCATCATTTACTAGATGGGGAGTCTTCAGCCGCCTGGATTCGAACTCCCGTTCTCACGAACGTGAGTCCAGCGCCCTACCTACCAGACTATCCCGGCCTCTTTAAGACAGCTAAATAGCAGAAACATAAAATTATAGTCCTTAGACTTATAAAGCTATAGCACATAAATATACTCAACACAATTAAATGGAATAACAAAAACCTGACATGATTTTAAATATCAACAAAAACTTTTTATTTCTAGTAATAAAACATATATTGACATTTTGTCACCGAGAACGTCAAATTATTCATTGGCACATAAGCTCTATAAGCTTATTTGCCCTTTACAAGAAGTAAGCTGCCAGTGAATATTAGCAAAATATGCAAATAATTTTTCATATATCAACAATAGCACTCTTTGAGGTTTGGTGATTTTTTGTCTTCACTGTTTCAGAATTCAATCCTTGAGGAGAAGTTACTTTTAAATGTGCTGCATCAAAGGCACGTTTAGATTGAACTAGTGCATCTTGAAGATTTCTGATTATATAAGACTGCTGCTCCACCTTACAATAAAAAGAAAAACCATCAGACAATAATTTGTAACAAAAGGAACACATTAATTCACTCAAAATCTAGATAGTATAGCTATGTTATAATCATGAGTAATAATCATGAGTAATAATCATCAGTGATAATTATATAATATATTATAATCATCAGTAATAATAAGCTTATTCAGTAAAAAATATACTGAAATTTATATTTTTTCACTACCCTACAATAATGGAAGAGACACTTAGAGGTGTTTAGTTCATGCAATTTTTAATATTTAGCAATAAGATTTAAAGCGTCCAGAGGTTTGAGAGACCGACGATAAATAACGAAAGAAAACAAGTATTTTTGCTCACCCTATGCCAGAAATTCAAGCAATAAGCTTGTATTGATGACTTTAATTGTTATTTTTAATAATCGAATAAAATTTTGTAAACCTACAGTAAATATTAATGGAAATATAGACTTTTTTTTTTATAAAAAATTAATTTTTGATTCAGGTTTTTTTTACTATAAATATTTAATGAAGTTAAAAAAATTTTTGAAAAAATTTAAACTTAATTACAAAATTATCAATCAAAAATTTTAAAACAAAAAATTTAAAAACTGTGCAGGATATAAGTTTTTAAGAGAAGTTCTTTGATTCAGCGCATGGGCAGAAAAAATTTAAAATAAGCTTTTTCATAATTTTGTAGTGAATGGTATTTGGCAACGCATTAAATTTTTATTCGAATATCTTAAAAAGTTTTAAGCAATTTTCAATGTAGTTTTTGTACTTCTTAAAAAAAAGCTCAAAGCCTTCAGGGGTTTAGACAATTTAATAAAAATGATAAAACTTTACAATGATCGTCCTAAAACCAAAATGTAATTGTAAAAGTAAAGGAAATGTGCGAAAGAAAACATACTTTTATTGGGGATGATTTCTCACAAAGCCACCAGTCTCATTTTAATAAATCTTGTTAAATAATAGTACAAAATGAAATTAGTGGAAAACCCCTTATTGTTTTTAGCTTTCTTTAGAAACTTTATTGAAATTTTTCAAATTTTTAGGATATTCAAATCAAACTTTTTCATTAATTGCCAAATAAGATTCACTACAAAATTTTGAAGAAAAAAAAATTAAAACTTTTTCTGCACATGCGCAGTATAAAAAAAACTACTTTAAATACACATATCTTACTCAGTTTTTAACTAATTTCTTTTAAATTTTTTAATTAATAATTTTCCAAATCAATAATTGCTCCAAAAAATTTTTCTTAATCCCATTGAATATTTTTAAACTTATAACAAAAAGTGTAAGACAAAAAAAGTTTTTTTTTTTTTATAAAAATGTCAATATTTTCATAAATATTTACGCTAGATTTACAAAATTTTATGTAGTTATTAAAAATAACAACTTCAGTAATCGGTACTAGCTACAAGCTTATTGCTTGATTTTGTGGCAAAAATACTTGTTTTCTTAAGTAATTTATTGTAGGTGTCCCAAACCACTTAAAGCTCTTAATCTTATTGCTATGTATGAAAAATTGCATGAACTAAACACCTCTAAAGTCACAAAATAATCCTTTACGTTTTTTTTTTCAAAGGATCCGTCGTTATATAAAATTATGCTTTGTTTAGAATAATATGCTATTTTTATAAGTGCTATGAGTTTGCAACTGTTATTCATGATTGCTAGGTCAAGTTGAACCTACCTAAAGCCAGCACTGTCTACGCTTATTTCGAAAATGGTGCAAAATGTCAATATGGAGAAAATCCAGTTTTGAAATCAGAAGCATTTGAGGTCTATTTTTAAATATTAAAAACTTACTCTAATGCTGCATTACTTGGGCTCATGAAAATTTGCAAAAAATTGAGATCAAGGCAGTGATTTTGATTATTTTCATCTAGGTGGGAAAATGTTGTCAAATTTAAAAAAAAAAAAAAACTTTTAAAATATTTACGTTACTTGTCTGTTCTAAAGTCTTCTTTTGCATTTACTGGAAGATTATACATAGTTTAAAATCATTGCATTACTTCAAGTGTAAGGCACTTAAACTAAAACGCTTTTTTATTTTCCTCGAAAACAGAGCTTCGAAAAACGGCTTTACGCAATTCTTGAGAAATGTAAAAAAAGAAAAAACTGAAAATCGAAAGTGTCTATAAAACAAGGTTGTAATTAAAAAATATGTACTTATACATCTATAGTACAACAAGGTTTTTATATTTAAAGTGGATAAGAAAATGAAGCATCAAAATACTTATAGCTGATACTGATTAATAAATTATACAATATACAAAGATCATCTGGAAAATAAGTTAGCCGCATCATCAAAAGATGGTTTTGAAAAATAATCAATATGAAATGCAAACACACAAGCCAGGTAGATTGTGGATGTTGGAAGCAACGGTTGCAAATTCTCGATTACATTGATGTGCAAGGATGTCTGCTTTCATTTATTTTCCTTTGGACTGAGAAGTGAATAAAGAATTTGCAATGCGCAAAAAGTAGCCGAAATCTAAATCTGTAATGCATTGTGGGAATGTTATAAGGAGGAAGACTGTTTGTAGTTGGTGTAAAGATTTTTCCAAAAGTAATCAAAATGTCTATGATGAACATCTTTCTGGATAGCCATCCCTCATTGATGATAACATCATTGTTGTGGAACAAGTGTGGCAGCAAATTGTGCAGAATGTATGCAATGGAAGTCAGAAGCCATTTTCCACAAATATTCCAAAATGTGGTGCATGAAATCTTCATGAAACACCAGTTTTTCTGAAAATTGCCAGATAGGGGCTAAAAAAAAGCTTTAGACCTGAATAACAAACAAAATTCATGGGAGCAGCATCGACCATTTTTGTAGCGATACTACAATGAAGGTAATGTGCTTGGTGGCAGAAACTATTTAGCATAACAGCAGGCACTGCTGATTAATTTTCATCTCAGAATTGATTTTAAAAAAAATGGAGAAAAAGTTGCAGAGCGAAAGTAAGGAACAAATAAAGATCAGATGAAAAACAAAGATTTTTCTACTCTTATTTAAGAAAAATAAAGAATAATTTCCCCCTTTTTAAATCTAATATCAAAGCAGACAGACATATCCATCCCGCAGATACTTTTTTTTTTAAAATCTAGCTTCTTGTTTAACATCATTTGCTCTAGAGGAGATAGAAAAGAAAATTGTGAATTTCTAAACCTTACTCAATTACCAACAGAATTATGGTCAATTTCTGCTCTTATACCAAACACCCTATATTTAATCCCTTATTATTCATTATACCGGATATTGTTTTGCAATATTCTTGCAAAGCAACAGCAATGATACGATATTGAATAGAATTTGAAGGAACTTTAAGTAGGAGCAATTAAAAACACCATAAAATACAGTTATTATTCTTTTTGAACTGAAAAGATTTTTTCAATATTATCTGCATGTGTTGTGCTTTTTTTGGTTTCTTTGTTGAGCTTAGTGTAAGCATACCTTCCTTTTCTTTTTTCATATAGCTATTTATATTTTAAGCATTACCACTATTTTTAAAACATTTCTAAACTTGTTTCTAATCAAAATTATAAAGCTGAATTGATAGAACAAAAAGAAAATGGGGTTTTTTTTCTCTATAACTCAATTACAAGCTTTTACTGTATTGAGTTACATTCCCCTTTCTTAAAGTATTGTATAAAATTCAAACCACTTAAAGTTTTTGTGTATAATTATTGAATACCTTATATTTGTATATTTTGCTACATATGTATTAGTTTAAATTGAATTTCTACACATCATATTCTTATAATCACTGTCTAATTCTGTTGGGATCCGGACAAATTTGAGTCTATGAAGATTTGCTGCAGATTGTCGCCCTAATTTCAGCTACCAAGCTCCTTGAAATCTATAACAAATGCCTAAACCGATTTTTAAAGTGACTGAGACGTGGATAACTCATTTCACCCTAAAAACCAATGCATTGGCATCATAGGGATTTCTGTGTTTGACATAATTTCAGCAGACTGTATCCACACAAAAATTTATGTGCACTGTCTTCTGAGATAGGAAAGCCACTCTTCTTGCCATGAAATATTTCGGTGAATAATGAACATTATAAAGAAACATTAAAGAACTAGCGATTAGCCATCTGATGCTCGTCCTAAGTTCAGGAGGCTGAGTACTGTTGTTATAATACTCCACAACAGCACTCACATGCATACATTCAATCCCCCCCCCCCAAAAAAAAAATATGTTGCAAATATTTTTCTGGGAGATGTTTGACGATCCACCCTATAGACTTTATTTTATTCTTGGTGATTTTCACCTGTTCTTGCACTCGAAGAAATGTCTGTCCTCTCCAACAGAAGATGGGCTAACAGCTATGACATGCTGGATCCATTCCTGGACAACAGATTTATATAATACTGAACGACAAAAACACGTCTTAAAATATGAAAGAGTTACGGTTCTGAGTCTTGGTGTTGAGAAGTAGAAGTTGCAAAAGATATGTTGCCGCTTGCAATGTTTTTTTATAATACACTGCTCAAAACAATTAAAGGATATTGAGGTTGTGGGTTGATCTTGCACTTGGAGTGTTTGATCACCAAGTCACCACTTGGTGATGAAATCATTCACCAAGTTAGCATGATGTGGCCTGCAATCATCGTCCATTAACATGAAGCCATCTCCAATTGCTAAAGAATAAGGAACTACACTAGGTCTCAGGATCTTGTCCCTATGTCGGTGGCTGGTCAGAGCTCCATTTCGAATGATATGGAGATCGGTGCGCCCATCAATGGAGATGTCAGTATAGACCATCACTCCCCCACTGCCAAATCTTACATTTTGGGGCCGGGTTAGCCTGGTTGGTAGAGCACTGGTCCACCTCTGAAAGGTTGTGGGTTCGATCCTCGCCGGTCAAAGACTCCCCGCGTAGTAAATAGTGACTGATGCACGTTAAATCTGTCGAGTCATTAAGTCCACCAAGTTCCCATAACATCTCATACCTCTGGGGGTACTGATCCAGGAGATTCCTTGTCTTCTGGATTGATTGAAAGTTACAAGGCTACAGAGTTGAACATTGGTAGATGTAAACCAAAATTTGGGTTGGCTGTTCAACCACAGATATAAAATAAAATAAAATCTTTCACTTTCGTGCATGAGCGCAGAATTGTTTCTAGTTTTCTTCCTTCCAAATGAAATTACGCCTATTATCATGATGAACAGAAAAATTAGACTCGTCAGAGAAAAGAATATTGCACCATTCATTTCTCCTCCAGTTCACATGCTCAGTTGCCCACTCAGTTGCGACTGCGCCTTGGCTGTTAACGTGATGCATGCAATTGGTCGACAAGCATAGACCTACAGCGTGAAAGCAGTTTCAGACAGTTTGTGTCAAAACTGTGGTGCCAGTAGCCAAGCAAAGGTGTTGTTGAAGAACAGTGGCTTTCATATTTTGGTGTCTCCAAGCAGTTAGCGTTAAATAACGGTCTTCATTGGGCATTGTTGCACGTCAACGCCCTTGCTCTAATATTCGGCTAGTATTTCCAGTCTCTAAAAAACTCTTCCAGATCCTGGAAATCACACTTTGTGAAACTCCGATGGTTTCTGCTACTTCGGCATGTGCTTGTCCCCTCTCTACCTGGCCAACAACTCCCCAAGCTTCGTATTCAGTCAAATGACTTCGTTGAGACATCGCACTCATCTCAACAGCACGCTTACTGATAATCGACATTCTTTTCCACTTGGTCTTACATTAAGTTGAAAGCCAAATCAAATTTGTTGCTGCTAAAGCGACGTCTTCGACGTTGAACTCAAAATTTGCATACTGAGAAGTTTCAAAATAAGAAAAATTTGCATTTGCGACTATCCTCTTCCATTTTATGCAACAAAAAAAAAGACATTTGCCTATACCGTTATTTTATGCAAGACTTACAATATTCTTTAATTGTTTTGAGCAGTGCATAAAATTTAAATGATACATCAATTTTCGTATTATAGAATCGTTATTTTTTCTTAGAGCTGATTTTTACTCTGAGAACGCAACTATTTGTTAATATACCACGGCAAAATCCCCAGCTAGCAGTGAAAGTAGAAGTAGTTATTAGCGCTTTCGTTTTCCATCAAAAGGTGTCATTACCAATATATGTCTTTCCGGCCGGAGTGTGACTATGCAGTCTACAGATACATTGATATGCCAATTGCAAAAGAAACAGCAATCTATCTTTTGCGATAAATCTTTCTTGGTAATTGTGCTTCGCTTCTTTTTAACAGCAGTGGGAAATTTACTTTCCAGATAAAAAAAAAAGTTTCAATAATCTTTACTTCATTTCAACCTAAATAATTCATTTTTATTTCTTGAAATAAATATGAGAGTAATTGTAAAGTAAAGAATTTTCTGATTTCAAGATGTGCACAATTCTCTCATCACTTCAAGGGCCAAAACATCTGTGATTATTTGCCTTCAGGCGTGAAAATGTTTAGTATATCCTCGTAAAAAATGTGATAATTGAGTAAAGTAGATGATAAAATTTAAAAAGTAACAATGATCTATAATAAAAAAATTCTCAAGCTTCCACTGAAGTATTTTTTACAATGTTAAATTATTAAATCATAATTTTATTTAAAAAATTGAGTGAGGGAAAAAAACTATAAATCAAGGAGACACGCAAATAAATTATTTTGTTAATCATTATTTACATTAAAAAAGCAAATTACTGTTTTTTATCAAATGATGAAAGGTTATATTCGTAAATGATGTAAAGAATACATGTTGAGATACATATTGAATCCGTAAAAAATACAGGTTCAATCCTATATTAAAAAGCAAATTACTGTTTATTATCTAATGATGAAAGTTTATAATCATAATGTTTGTAATAATTTTATTTCTTAAGCACTGATCATAAATCTTTGTTACATTAATTTAAATATATTTTCTATTTTTGACCAGATTTTTTTTTATCAATTTTCAAAGAATTCAATGCCCAATTTTATTTAAAATTTTCAATATTGAAAAATTTCGCAACTTGTGTTAGCTATTTTAAAATGTTACGTAAATGTTGTAATGTCAGTCCTGTTCAATTTATTACACAAGAATTGATGTTAACTATTTTACAATGTGAAACCAAACCAGACAAATGTAAGGTTTGAAATATATTTTCTGGAGACAAAAATAAAGTCCCTATTTTTCAAATTGATAGGCAGATAACTTAAGCTTATGGAACTGTGATGTGTGAAGCTATAGTTTGAAAACTAAGTAGCTTATTAATGGTGGACGAACCAAATTTATTATGAAGAACAATCAAATGAATTTCCTCGTAATTGTTTTTTCTTGAATTTTAACAAACTTTAATCAATTATTGTCTAATAAATCGAACAGGATTGACATTACAACAATGCAGGACTGAACATGTTCTCTCCTGATATTTCAAAAATAAAATTATTATTGAATTGTTAGTAGAGATTCAAGCAATAGAAAAGATAAGGCAAATAGGTTTCACAATTTTAATAAATAAAGAAAGAAAGAATGGTAACTACACTGACTTTTTTCACTAAATACCACAAATAAGATCACTTAGAAAAATTTATTTTTTTACCTAAAAATTTTTAATTTTGTTACATATTACTGTATTATACTGCACTAATTAAATGTTTGTATCAGAAGAGCACTAATGAGTGGAAAAGTATAGAGTTGGAGACACACTAGCACAGTTAGTGGCGGAATTGTGAAACAAACCAGATCAAAACTTTCTTTACTCCTAAAGTTATCTTCATACTAAGTTAGTACAAGTTTTTCTACAAATAATATATGCAATTACTAAATTTATGACTATATAATTTTAAACCAACATTTACTTTTGCATAATATAATTTAAAAGAAGGATAAAAGAGTATTTGAAATTCAATTGAAATGTTTTACAAGGATTATTTCCATAAATTAAAAAAAAAGAAATGTCAATAAACTTGCATGTTACCTATCCCTTGAACATGCATAGATCTATGCATTAACATGCATAGATCTTGAACGTGCATAGATCTTTTAGAATCCAGTTTTTGGACAAATTTTTTTTTTTTTTTGCATCTCATCAAATCAAGCAATTTAAAAATCCTACAAAGCCAAGTTTTCATAAACGGAGATTTAAAATTGATTTTTGTATCAGTGAAAAAGTGCACAGTTAAATAAACCAAGAGAATCCCCTATCAATTTAAATTTTAATATGCAAATATTTAAGAAGAAAGTAAAATCTAAAACCAATTATAAAGAATTTAAGCAGAGATAATTTAATAGCAGAGAATGTTACCTGTAACTTAAGTTTTTCTATTTCTATACAAGATTCTTCATAATTTTTAATGGTAACTTGCATCGTTGAACTTAAGTCATCTAGTTTTTTTTCAAAAACTGAACATTCTTGCCGAGAATTTTGAAGTTTTCTTTCCAGGTTCTCCAAGGCTGTGTCTTTTAACTCGACCTTAACAAAATGCATCAATAAGTTTTGGTAAACAACTTAGAAAGCAAACTTTAAAACAAAAACTTTGAAAAATAATGTTGATGCAAAATAACAAGTTCATCAAAATTATCAGACTTAAAACTATCCACCACTGAGGGTTTTTTTTCCTTTTCCAGATAAAATATAGGTTCCATGAGGCAGCTTTAAGGCTCCTCACATTTTTCAGTCAAAGGAAAGGGGAAAATAGTAGTCAATTGTAGTTAAAGAGAACTTTGGAGGACCATTTATGATATCAGGTACCACAATAAACGATTTAGTTACATAAGCATAAACAAATCAGTCAAACGGAATTAATTTAGATATAGGCTCCAATTAACAAGATAGAAATTCAAGAATAATTTTCTTAACTTTGGAACAGCTCTCGTTTTTGGTTTTTAAAAGTTTGTAAAGTAAGAAATTTAAGAAAACTTAAAAGATTTACTGAATAAAGATTAAATGAATTCGATATTTATACAAGTTCTCAAAACTTATTTAATATTGCACATATTTAAGAATACAGATAAACTTTTACAGAAATTATGTAATAATTATTTTAAAAGAATTCGTAATTTGAAAAATTTTTAAAGCTCTTTTTGAAAAGTATCCACTATGTAACATATACAATTCCTATCTTTTATTGACTTCATCACATCTCTACAATTTTTGAATCTACAAAGTACCCATTATTAAGAGCTTTCCACAGGCTCTTTCTCATTAGAATAATATTATTGACTAAACTGATCTTATAAAGATGTGGTGCGAACTAAGCACATAATAAATACCTTAATAAAATCATATTGCTTACGAAAATTAGAGAATGATCCTTGCTTAAGTTTCATTATTGAATTGTTAATAGGATACAAATGTAATAATCATAAGGAATAAAGAAAATTTTAAAATAAAAATCTGAAAAATTTATTTTAAAAAATTCAAAAATGTTTCCTCAATTTTAAGATAATGTTTAACATTAGTTATGTCAATATCTCTTTAATCAAATAATTAAAAAAAAATTTCAAAAACTTATAAGAAAATATAGAGTGGTAAAATAATTGTTGAAGGTAAATTAGCATGGCCCCTTAATTCCCACTTTTAAAATTTGTGCAGATTGAATTGTTACTAACTTCACTTGTTTTTGTACAAATAGTGGTAAGTCCCAAGTTGCAAACTTAGTGATTTTAGAACAATAAAAATGACACAACAGTTTTGAAAGAAAAAAAAAGCAGAATACATGATAACATGAAACTTCAGAAATATTATTTTGAAATTACGAATTTTACGTTAATAAAAATTACTATTCAAAAGAATTTATAGTAAATAAAATATAAATTAAATTATGAAACATTTTTCATTTATGTAATTTGTTTAATATTTTTTAATCAGAATCTAATATTTTCAATTAAAAAGTTTTCAATTGAAGTAAACAGATCAATTTGTGAGCAGCCCTATTAGTTACCATTTAAAATTTTTGCTTATTAATGAATTTTTAATATGATTGAAATCATTTTAAATTAACAATAAAAATGAATTAATTCAAAATTTTGAAACAGCTAATCTTAATTATTCATACAAGATTTGTTTTTCTTTTCAAAATTTCTAACTGTTATATGACCCCTAATTCCCCTTTATAAAATTTTATAGCAGAATTAAGTATTTTAAATATTTAATTAACGAATCCTCAAAATGTTGAAAAAAGGAATAAGATAAAGTTCAACCTTTAAAATATTATTGTATATTTATATTGGAAAGTTATGTATGTAAAAGTGATGCTTTGCGTCTTATGAACAAGAAAAATGTAGACAAGATGGCAATTTGTCTTGCAGTGGGGTACTTTTTTAGAATATAACGGCAGGGGATAATCTCCAGTAAAAATCTCAGATATTTGATGATATTTCTGTATTTCTTGCTCCACTATCTTCAACTAAGAATACAGCAAGGTTTTCCAAAGGGCTCAAAAAGTAGAAAAGACAAAAGCAAAAATCATAGAACAAAGAGTTCACACCTTCAAGAGTTCACAAGTTCAACCTTTAAAATATTTACAATTTTTAGAATTGTTAATTGAATCTCACGATGGAAATTGGGTCTAAAAAAACAAAATTCCGTGGATCTGCAGAAAAGTGGCCAGTTTGGTCTTATATTTATTAAATCAAATGAATAAAAAGGAAGATTTCGAAGAGATAAAGCACAGCCATTATTGACTTTCCTAAACTTACATGGAAAATCTTAATTAGTAATTGATTGGAGTGTTGTACAAGGACTGCGGTACTAATCTATAAATACAACAGAGCACAAGCATCTACATCATTAGCTTTCAAATGTGGATGATGAAGAGTGAATAATGACAATGTGATGATGACACAAAAGTTAGAATGCATCAAAATTTTAGCATAATTGAAACAATTCTTAAAAACTAAATTCAAATTATTTAAAAAAGCCAAAGAGGAACAAAACATTAAAAAGAGGACTATTTCACTCTAAGAAACAAAATTGGGAGGGAAAAAGAAGACAATTTGGGAGCCCTACAAGTTGGTACTACAACTTTCTTGTTATTTTTGTACCAAGCTTAGATTAAAATATGTATCGATTTTGTTAGATTGAGTAGACAAGGTCTATTTTTAGCTTAGTTAATCTACTTCTTGATTTATTTTACACTGCATTCAATCAACCGAATTATGTGTTGACCACATAAGGGACAAATATTTGCCTACTCTTAACCCCTTTTCTTCCCTTATCGAAAAAAATTTTAATTCTCCTAATGAAATACATCCTTATGATTTTTTAAAACACATTTTACTAATTGGATACACCAAATGTAAATTCAAGCAATTTGTATCGTTTGACATCCTTAGAATTAAAGTACCAAATTCAAGTTAGCTGAAATTTGCAAATTATTGTAACTTCTGCATGACTGAATTTTAACAATTTTTCTAGGAAACATATGGAATATTGTTGATCAAAAATTAAGTGATAATTATGATTCAGTAATGCAATAACTTTATGGATTAATAGTAATAGTGATAAATTTTGTGCAACATAATCATTCATTTGTATATACAGTGTAACGTCCCATATCCGGACGTCCCTTTTCCGGAGGGGTCAATTTCCCAGACACTTTTTAACAATCAAAATAAACAAACATCTCTTCATCTTCCCCACTCTCTTAAAAAAAAAAAAAGTATTTTGACAGGTTTTTTCCTTTCTTAGCTTCTAGTGATCTATGCATTAAACCCATAAATCAACAGAAAAGAGAACAGAAGATCTACCAAGACCGTACCGTTAGTAACGCTCCTCCTCTGGAATGCAGGAAAGGGGGGGGGAGATTTGTTTTCAAAAGAGCACAATTGAGTCCCCTCCCCCCTTCTTTCCTGTGCAGCTGGCTAGTAAAAGAGGCATTTCCTGGAACCTTTTTGATAAAGTGTTAGGGAAAGAAGTACTGTGAAAAAGGGTAAACACAGCAAACGTTAAAGTGGAGGGGGAATCCCCTTTAGTCACACAAGAAAAAATAAAGAGAACCCAATCAGCATGCCACGCCTTTATGCTTGATTGATAGCCAATGACAGGAGAGAAAATAAGAACTTGTCACTTCCCCCCCTTCAACTTGAATGACAAGTAAGAAGGAAATGAATTTTGCTTCTTCACCTACCCACCTTAATGAATGAATGACGGGAATTTCCCCTTCTTGCTTGAAACGTTCTAGTTCAAAATGGCGGAGAGAGCAATTAATATTTTCATAACTGTAAATTTTTTTAGTTTCCTATATTTATTTTTATAATAGCAATAATTATTTTTTTTTAAATATTTTGTTTTTGATTGATTAGATATCATTCTAATACTAAAACATTATTGCCCGAAAAATAATGTTATTTAATTTCTGCTTCTTAGATTCAGATCATTTTAATCTCTGTTTACCTTGGGGGTCTATTATACGGAAAAATCGATTATCCGGACTTCGGAAAGTCCCGCCGATTCCGGATACGCGACTTTCCACTGTAGTTTCTTAACTAAAACATATTAGTGGTGAATAACAGAAAAAAAACATTTAAGGGTAAGTTATGGTTTTGAACTGAATAAAAAAAAGTCACTTATCTTATCTTATTAAGATAAACTAAGCTTTTATTGTTTTATTTTGAGAATTGAATCTGTTACCAGGGTTACGATAGATAGTAGTTTTGAATAGGGATGTGGGGTTAGCTTGGGAGAGGTCATTTCTTCTATCCCCCCTTTAATGAATGGGACATTTTAAGTTGCCAATGTATATATACCAATTCTCGAAGCTGATTTTCTCCATAATTTTGAATTTATGCATGTATCAGAAATGAATGTATTAGAAACTAAAAAACTAAGTTAAAAACTCCTGGTCATTTTAACATGACGGATTACAGTTAAACCATTTCTAAAGATAATAAATATTTTGATCTTCTAAAATAATTCACATCTATAACTAAATTATCCAATCAAAATAAACCTATCAAACATAATACTGCATGGACCTCCTGTAGTGGCAAAACCACACCAGGAGATTGACTAAACCAATCAGCTAAAACATTGTCACGACCAGGTAAAAATACAAAATCGAATGAATATTTACTTAAATCAAGGAGCTACTACATCAGCAGGTAAAATTATTTTACGATAGTGTTTCAATGCTTTGTTATCACTTAAAATAGTAAACTGTCTATTATACAAGTCTATTATTTAAATGCAGTAACACCTTTAAATATTGCAAAAAATTCTCATTTTATAGCCAGATAATTTTTATCTGATTTGAATAACGCTTTAATAAAAATGAAACAAGGCAAAGAGATCCTCTTGCTCTTGCAGTAACACAGCTGAAACTTTTAATTTACTGGCATCTGCATTGAGGAAAAATTTATTATTTTACACAAATGGTTTACAGAAGTAAACAACAACTCAAACTGAAACACTGACAAAATCACATGTGTCAATCAAAGAGGCTGACAAACAGGTGCAATGTGACTGGCAGACTAAGAATTTTAATGTGGCTCACCCTAAAGAGGGAAAGAGTAAAAAGTGCTAACTCGGGAACCCGATGTCAAGGTAACCAGTTGGCAAATAAAAATTCACAGCAGTAAAAAGAAATAATACTGTAGTTCTGTCTACAAGCACATGCTGAAACAACAAAAAATGGTATTGTTGGAGTCGCATTTATTAGTATAAAAATTAAGTGGTGCCCCCATCATAAATTTATCTAGGATTCCTTTCCAAATATTAATATGTACCACTTTTTAGGTTCTCTGTGTAAGTATGGAGAACCCATTAACATGCACTTACAGATCTAAAAGTAAAATGCCTTAACGCCACTAAATAAGTACACTGATTATGACTGATATAAACATTTAGGCAACTTTTTTACTATAACTATATTTTGAAAAAGTTGTTCCATAATATGTTCATCCTTGGCTAGCTGTAGATCTCTGAGTATTTCAAAAAGTGGATGAACACTGAAACAGAATAAACATTCATTCATACACTAAATGTGTAAAAAAAAACATTCCTGTTTCAATTATTAATACAAATTACTATCTGCAGGCACAAGATTTTAAATTTACATACCTAACTAATAATTTTTTTATTCATATTTATTCTATGCCCCGTTTCGAAGTTTTTTCTGGAACCCCTTTAGCTGCTGTAGCTACAAAAAAGTATTATTGATATAATGTTCAAATTGTTAGCAAATTTAACTATTTTCTGAAACTAATGTCCCCAATCTAAATGTGTCTGATATATTATCTGATTGCTTTCCCACATAGCAATCAAATGTTTTCAAAATCAAAACAGATCGATTATCAAATATAATTAAAACTTTAAAGTTATATTAAATAATAATGCAACAACAAATTTAACCATATAACTAATTTTAAACATGAACAATATGTTATCAATTCATCACTAACTTAACTGATAAGCAAAAATAGTTACTTGTTTCATAACTGAATCAACGTGATTTTGCAACTGATCAAGAAGAACAGACTTTTCTTCAATCTGAAAAATAAAGAAACATTAAAATTGAAAAAATTTAAAGGAAATCTTAGAAAATTAAATTTTTTTATTTTTATAATTTTCAAAAAGTTTTTAATGTTTTGAAATAAAAATTTACCTCAAATCAATTACTAAATTTTTGTTACAAACTGAAAATTAATATGAATTAGCGAAATTTCATTTAACATTTTTTATAAAAGGTGCTTTTTATTTTCAGATCTTTGTTCAATTTACTTTATAAAATAAATTAACAATTTAATAAATCAAATAAAATCTGAACATTTTCCTGGAATTATTCTATACATTTTCATTACTACCTGAAAAAATTTAATTTTGTTCAAACCTCATTTATTTATCATTGAACTCAGAGCCTCTGTTTGGCATCAATTTGAAATGACAACAAATCAAACCTAAGTTTTCTTCCAATGGGACTATTCCAGAATTATGTTAGAAAATTCAAAATGCATAAGACATTAATATAGTGAGGTATGAAAAAACCAAATTAAGTCAAAACAGGAGAAGAAAATTGCTTGCTCACAAATTTTTTACTTTGTTGCTCTGAGTGGCTTGCTGCTATTTTAAGTGTTATTCAAAATGTACACTAAAAACCTATTTTATAATCATGTCTGAGACTTAACTATGATGCTTTCTATGAAAACAAATAAAAAATATATATAAATCACAATCATAACTGAGCATGGAAAAAAATTGTGGGAATCCACCACACAAAACTAGTAAATCTCCAAAATAAAAACTCATTAACAATGAAACTAATTCACTAATAAATCTCAAGTCTAAGCACTAACACTAAAAACTATTAAATTAAAAAAAACTTAACTAAATAATGTTGTTAAGAGTAAAAATTAGAAATTACAAAAAGAAACAAATTATTTCGGATCTTCTATTATGCTATATTTAATGCCAATAACTAGTAATGCAAGGATAAATGCTACATATTTAATCGCTTAAATGTTTTTAAGGGGGAGAAATTATCAGATAAAAAAATATGAAAAAAACAATAAATCATATGTGCATAAATTAAGCTTGATAAATAAGAAAAAAGTACCCTAATTATGGCTTTATTTAGATCTTCCTTTAAATTTTGTATCAAACTTCTTTCAACTACATCTCGACCAGGACACTCATCCAGTATATTTGGAATATCATTTAAGATGAACTGAGTTCCTTGAGTAGTCTAAAAAGAGATATAAATACATTTAATATACAAACGAGTAGTTCATATTTAAAAAATGCTTTGATGTATAAATTTACATTAAAATAAGGATAAATTTCTACATGATAATACTTCTGTATTATACTTGTGTGCATTTCATATATACATTTATAAACTGTTGATGAAAAGTATACTTTATTAGCTCATAATACATAGAAGAAGAATGAAGTGATATTTTCACTTATTTTGTTTATTAAATTTTTGAGTTTATTTTTTTAGCAATAATGCTTCTATGTGCAATATTACATGCATTCAATCAGATATCAATCAAATTATGGCCAATCAAGTATATAAATTAATGCACTATAATCAATCAGACAGCTGATAGATATCATAGATTTATCTCAGATAAAGCACTCTGGATAACTTTTGACTCAAAAAATATATTTCGGTTTACTAATATGTAGTCTTTTCAATTCAAACACTTAATATTAAGTAAGAAATCAAAAAGATAAACAGTACACCACTTTAAAAATTCCTAACAGTTAGGAATCTTAAACGTAAGAGAATTAAACTCAACCCAGAATCCTAACAGTTAGAGAATTAAACTCAAAGCAGAGAATTTGAAAACTTGTGTATTGAATTTGAAACTGAATTTTAAAAGTGAAATTTAACACTAATTGATTGGCATATAAAGTAAGCCTATTGAAATATGAAGATAGCAACTTAATAAGTGAAAATCAGAACATTGCATCAGAACAGTAGTACATCAGAATTTCCGAAAATATAAAATCAATGTGTTTGCTATCAAAAGTATTGTAGCATGATCTTTAAGTAATTTTCCTTGTTATCTTATAATTTTCTTTTTTTAAGTAGTTTTCATTAAACTATAATAATAAATTATACTTAGTTCTGAATTTTTATTCTGCAGTAGATAAACATTGGTTTTCTAAAAATATGACATCTCAGTTCACTACAGTGTTTTCTGAGAAAATATTGTTTTTCCATTCTTATTTAAAACTTTTGAACCAGAGTTTTACGTAAAGGTATAACTTAAATTATATCGAATATCAAACAAAGAAATCTAGTTTAGTAAATCAAATGAATAAAATATTTTCTCAAAACAAGTTCACCTGAAGAAAACTATACAAATATTTTTTGTTTAATATACAATATTTCGTAAAAATAATAATTGCTATTTTTAAAGAAAGGAAGATTTTTCACGCATTAAAAAAGTTCCGCTCTTTTACAGTTCAATTTAAGCAACCAATTACTATAAAATACATAAAATTATATGCACTTGATGCTCACTGCCTATCATCAAGAATTGCAATCAAATCAGCAATTAAATTTCTTATAATTTTATGCATTAATAAAAAGCAACATAACAATTTAACAATAAAAATATGACACCTTATACTTTTACAACAAAAAAATTGATTGAGAGCAAAGATTTTGTGACCTGTGTTTTTTTTCTTTAATTCTAAATTGGATTTAAAATAAAAATCTTTAAATATTAAAAACTATTACACTTTTGTTCTCTCATGAACTTCCCAAATAAAAATGACTCAAAAAAGAATAAGTTTTTGTTATGCCAAATTTATCAATAAAAAAAAACTCAGAATTTCGTGCAAAAAATTTAAGATCATTTTCTTCATATCTTTTTTAAAAAAGTTACTAAAAAATTGAAATACAATTAGATTAATTATATTTTTCTGACAAAAGAAAAATATCAAATATCTGACAAAAGAAAAATATCAAATAAAAACTATTTCAGAGAAAAATATTTAAAAATGCCATACATACTCTATCAGCTTCTGCTTGCAAACCTACTGAAAACTTTGAAACCTTATTCTCACTGTGAACACACATATTGCACTGTTCTCCAAATAATCTACACATCTGTTGATTTAGTCCTGTAATTTCAGACTCAGAACAACTACAGGAACTATCAGTTGAATTATCCTAAAGAGTAAAGATTTACTTATTCATACTAAAATATAGCATAAAGAGGGATGCTAAATACTACAACTGGATTTAAACTGGGTTTCTTTTTATCCTTTGCAATGCTAGACACAGAAAAAACAAACTCTAACACTCTTCATTTTGTACTGGGTAATGAGACAGTCATTGAATAATCAAAAATATAAAAGGAATCATACTGAAAGAACACATACATCATACTGAAAGAAACATAAAAGGACTGTGCTATTTACTCCTTTTTATAAACCTATGACTTTATTTTCCATGCTTTTTAAAAATATTACAATGTAGAATAATACGAAAAGTTTTTTAGGAACAAAAATCATCATGATAGTCACATTTTCTACCTACACTCAAAACGTCTCAAGGTGAAAAGATAGATAAAAAAAAAATTTAAGAAGGATGTTAAAATTATCCTTACAATTTTTCCCAATTAAACTAACACTATATAATGAATTGTAGTGGTAAATCTGCTGTAACGGACCTATTTTATTGAAAAATAATACTTCAACATAATTAAAAGCAATAACAAATTATGAGCAAACAATTCCACAAAGCAGCGGTTCCCAAAAGGTGTTCTGCAGAACCCTGGAGTTCCAAAAGTCAGGATTTTTTAAAACCAGTAATAATTATATTTATAACCAATCAATAATTCAAAATTCATTTAACATTTGAGGTGCTTAAAGAACATATTTTTGTAAAATACCCATAAAAAAATAGCAAACTTTAAAAAAAAAATTCAATAATAATATATTAAAGAAATTATGAAAGGAATAAGCTATTATCAAAAATTTAATAAATATTCCTCATTGAGACTTTCAATTTTAATAAAATAATTTAAATTAAGGATAAAAAAAAAATTTTCTTTGATAGCTAGTCCCAAGGTTTAAAAGTTATTAAAAAACCATCAATCAGCTTATTTTATTCATTTTCAGCATATAAATGCAACAAGAACAAATTCATAATATTAAATGTTTTATTCCTTCCCTTTCCTAAGAAGGTCAATCATTTTGGGTTCTGTAGCCACAAAAAATAGGAAACTGTTGCTATAAATAGTTCGCTTTTACTTAAGATTTTCATACTAATATAAATATACTTATTAAAGATCCAATTATAAGTTGTGCATGATTTGAATGTTGATTTAATAACATTTTTAAAGGAAAATATAACTGAATTGTATATAAAGAGACAATATGCTCAAGAAAACTAGTAATTTTTCAAAATGATTAATGAAGTAAAATTCAATGTCTATGCTTTTTAATTTAAACACCTAAAATAAAAGCAAAAATTTGTTTTTAGAAATGCTCTTCAACTCTCATTTGGATAATTGAACAGCACAAGTTTTTTTTTTTTTTTTTTTTTTTTTTTTAGATGCATTCAAATGTTTTTATATCAAACACTTGTGACCCAACAACCAGTAATTAGGGATTTTTGATTCATTTATTAGTTAAACAGGTTGGAAAAGAATCTTAGCAATTTAAAAGTTTAATCTGATCACATCAGTTGATCCAAGCATTTTAAATGTTTAAACTTCAACACACGTAACACTTTTTTAACATTGAAATGAAATTATTTACAAAAGAACAATATATGGGTGTTAAAAATTTAATAATAAATAAATTACAAGCTTGGAATCATAAATAATTTACCTTTAAATATGAGTTTTCTTGATCATCTAAATAAGATCCAGATTTCAATTTATTCCATATGTTGACCTTTAATGTTGATCCTTCAGTAGGAAATTTTAAATCTATACTTTGATATGGTGGAAGACTAGATTGATAGTTTTCACATAAGGCATTACTTGAAGCTTTTTTAATGGGTTCACAGGGTGTGTACTTATAAATATTACCATCAAACATAAATAAGTGAGGTTCACTTTGGCCTTTACGATTACACAATCTTTCTTCCAGATTTTCAACACAGGACACATCTTTTAACAATTCAGGAGTCTGTATAGCATTTCTAGCACCAATTCTTTTATGTTTAGATGATTTAAATCCTAAAAGTCTCTTATTACCATTTGTATCATAAGAGTTTGATTTATGTACAGCTTGGTTAAAATTATAAATATTGCCAATTTCAGGTAATGAAGCACACCTAGGTAAACATGAAGAGAGAAGGTGAACAGGAGATAAGTTTGCTTTTCCCTGAAAAAAAAATATTTCTGAATTTTAGAGAGGTTTCCATATTGTACATAAAATAAAAATGTAAATTTAAGTTCATCAACTAACCCTTTTTAACAAGATTTTTTTTAACATTTTTTGAAACTTTGAGTCAAAATAGATTAGTCAAACTTATAGTAATTCTTGTTAAATTTCTTGCAAATTTCAGATAACTTTTTTAAACTATGTCAAGCACCACTTTTTGACACATATTAAACATTGTCTTAAGTAAAACTTATAAGCTTTTACAAGGAAATCAGTTCCATTTTTCAATTTATAAAAATCTGTTGACTAACAACATTGAAACATGAATTATATGAAGATAAACCATATCTCAATATGAAGAAAAACAATATCTAACATGAAGAAAAACAATATCTAACATGAAGAAAAACAATATCTTACATGAAGAAAAACAATATCTAACATGAAGAAAAACCATATCTCAAACTATTCACCTAACAATTGCTAAACAGCAAAATTTCTGAGAAGGAAGGAGGAAGCTTTTTGACCTATGGAAACTTCCTTTGTGTTCACACATTTATCAAGGGTCTGTCCAGACATTTCGTGAAAGGTCCGTTTTTGCAAAATTGTGAAAAAATTACTCGTACTTTGTGAATATAAAATAAACGTTAAGTCATTCAACAAATTCTTTCAACCAGGGTCTGCTTTTGTGAATATTAAGCAAATAGGGTCCTGCTACTGCAAAAAAATTTTTGAAGGAGTTTTTAAATTGTAAAGAGATACAAGATTATGCTCAACACTGTAAAATTATAATTAAAAAAATTAAATTTTAAAAAATAAACAGCAACTGCTGCTACTAAATTAGAGATGCAACATACAAATATTAGGTATTTAGCCTATACTGCTGAACGCAGAATATTCATTTCGGACGAATAAAGGAAGAAGCGTCTACTGAAGACAAAACTTAGTTTGCTGACATCTGTCTTTCTTTCCCTCCCCCACCCCCTGGGAAGGGTTTATTCGATTAACAAAACAATAATGAAGATAAATAAGTTTGTGGAGGGTCCGATTAAAAGATAAATTATTTTGTGAAGGGTCTGTTTTTAAGTTAAAATATTTTGTGAAGGGTCCGTTTTTATGGAAAGATATTTTGTGAAGGGTCCATTAACGAACGCAAATTTCTTCTAAACAGACCCCTGTTTATGGCGGTGTTTTTAAGTGAAGGTTTAATTTTAAAATATAGATAAAGTTTTAGAATACTTTGCTGGTAAGTATATTCACCTTAAAATTGTTAAACAATAAATATAGGTAAAATGTAATTGAGCAATGTTTGATCCCTTATGAGTAACATTGACGGAAACTAATTTATGTTCATAACGAGCATGTTGGTACTCCTCTTGAATTAATTTAAAATAAACAGTTATAAAGTCATACAAATTACGAAACACTGCAGATCAAAAAATTTTAATGCATAAAATAAGAAATAATGAAATTTTTAATGAATAAATCAAACTTTTAAAAGAAAATTACTTAGAAAATTAAATGTAAACAATTTTCTAATAACAGATCAGATTTTATGATTTGTAAGCATTTATAAACTCATATTAATTCATGTATAGATTTTACCTTAGATCGGACTCTGGAATGGTGTGGACTGGAAGTATAAATGCTAGCAGTATCTTGGGAGAATATATCTGAATTGGTAGACATCTAGAAAAAATACAAAGATAATTATTTCAGATTTATAATAATTAGTAATAGCTTTCTAATAGGTCCAAATAGTTAATAGTTAGTTAAGGTCATAGTTAAAAAAATTTATTTCTGCCCAGTTTACACATTTTTTATGATTTTTATGTACATAATTTAATTTTAAAATGCTGCATCACAAAAGTTGGAAACTAGAGAACGGATGTACTCTGTTGACTCCTGTCACTGTTTATCATTTTTATCATTAAAAATATAACATTTACACTGCACTTCTCATACAGCTTGCATCCAGCATACCTGCCAACATTGGAGAAATAAAATAACGGAGATTTTACTAGTGGCATTTTTTAGGCTAAGAGTAAAGTCTTGATATATCAAGTCAAAAAGAGAAATTCAAATTTGGAAATAATATAAGCACATACATTTAGCGAAGTAAAAAAATATGTATATAAATCTTAATCTAAAAAAGATTTTTAAACCATTATTTGTCATTACTTAAACTAGAAACACTCAATATACTACAGTACTGGCAATAGCACTATCTGTTAAGGAATAAGAGAAGTTTTTTGCCATTAGTGGATATTTTAGCAACAAACTTTTTTTTTTTTAATTTCTTCAACAAATATGAAGAAATTTGAGAAGACACAGGTAAACAGGAGATAGTTGTAAAATACAGGAGTCTTCGTTAAAAAACAGCAGACTTGCCAAGTATGATCCAGGGTTTGTGTAGAAAGAAAAGAATATTTTGAAAGAGCCATATGATGAAGAGCCATAACTTGTATTATGAGGGAAGTGTTTGATATCAACTAATATATCAACTAACACAGCTAATTAATAATAGCTCAATAGTTGGCAATATTTAAAAGAAATTTTGGCATAATTTTATAATAAAATACTAAAGCATATTGGAGCAAACATAACATGCACACATTTAAGTTGACACTTTAATTTTTAACAAAAAAAAATTTTTTCTCATAATAAGAAAAGTCTTTATAATCTACTATTTCAAAGCCATTGTTTTGTCAATGACTTAGAAACAGTTATCACTCTCAGGTTCCAACAAAGGCTCAATAATAAAAAAAATTTAAATAACTCTGAAAACTTAAAAAATAAATTCCCCAAACCTAAAAATATTACTTCAGACACGAAAAAGAATTAGAAGTATCAGAAATCAGTTTTTGATATGAGATAATTTATTTCAAAAATACTTGAAACAAATATAAATTAAAGAAGTGTTTGAATAATATAAAGCTACAAAATAATGCAGTACACAAAAATAGGCAGAAAATATTTTTATCAAAAGATATAAATCTTGTTGTTCTGATAAAAATAAATTACTGACAATATATTATTGTGAAGGATGTTTCTTACCAAAAGACTAAAGATGGGAAGCTTTGAAAATAATTGATGGGTAAAATTAGCCAAGAAAATTAGACTAAACAACAGTGAACATGAAGAATAAACATTAAACATGAAGAATAAACATTAAACATAGGCAATTGTTGTATTTCTAAATACTATCAACTATTTATCCATAACTAAAAGGTTAACATTTAAATATCTGCAAAAGAATCTGGGAGGAATAACCAGGATTATTATTTTTTTAAAAACATTTAATTTTACTAAATACTAAAGTATATAATATTTTTAAAAATATTTAGGAACTGGTGAGTTTTAAGTGATTTACCATGCCATAAAAGAGCTAATATTTACCTTTTTGCTGTCTCTATTATAAAGCTGCGAGTCAGTATCAGTCCCATCACTATAAAAAAAAAAGTCAATGTGAAACTATTTTGAAACACTGCCTTAGAACATTAACAAAGATAAATTGTAAAATCATAGACATGGTAGTAACAATAACACTTGTTTTGATTTTACTTTTGAATTGCTTTATGAAGTTCTGACCAATTAGTTAACAGTGTTGCAGAGGAGAATATGAAACAAAATTTAAATGCAAATATCTTTGCAAACTGCAATACACTTTTTTCAAGCAAGTAAAGTCAAACAACAATATTTTGTTAACATAAAAAAATGCAATATCAACTAAGACTCAGTTTGTAGAAAATGCTTAAAATATTTATTACAGTATCTTTATTGACCTGACGCCCGGTGGGTGAGTGGTAGCGCTTTGCGCTCCCGTGCCACACTGGGTTCGATCCTCAGGCCGGGCAAGGTTGACTCAGCCTTTCATCCCTTCAGTGGGTCGATAAATGGGTACCAAGCATGATTGGGAACTAAACACTGGGGGTTCCGCGTTCGGTTAGCCACCTAACCAGAACATCTGCTATTACACCCCAGAGCTCAAGGTCAAGAAAACTGAGATGGGCACAGTCTGCCTTGGCCCTCTATGGGCTGTCAGGCCACTGAGTTTAGTTTAGTTTTATCTTTATTGACCCTCACTTATGAAGGATAAATATATTGTAAATTTATTAGATAGCCCATTTTCTATTTGTCCTATCTAATATTTTCAATGCTTTTTTTTTGGATCAAATAAGATATCAATTTTTTAACTTATTTTGGATGTTAACATCACTTCAGTTGGTGAAAATTAAAATTACATTTGCTTGAAACACGCTAATTTTTATATATGTGAAACTATTTTTTGAATAAAAACTATGCAATAAACTCAAAACTCAACTTTTTAAAAAAAAGAGTTAGAGCAAATAAGGCAGGACTACCAAATTTATAAAATATCATATTAACAGTTCTCATGAAAACAACAAAACATTTTTTGCATAAACCTCAAATATCAAATGTGACAAGATTCAGATTGTAAGCTATTAAGTTGGCAAAAGTAATTATTAGTACCTAAGTAGTACCTAAGTTTTTTTAACACATTCAGTTTTATGCTCTAAAAAAATATCAAATTACTTTATTAAAATTAATATTTACTATAATTAAGGAAGCCCTTAATTTAGTACAACAATAACATTACAACATGCTTTTTTTTAAGTTCAAGAAGACAAAAATTAAAAGTTAATATTTTTAATTGCAATTTATTCCTTTGGTTTGTTCCTTTGTTAAGAATTACAGGATATTTAGGAAAGGAATTTTTATATACTCTATAAATTTTCTAATAGTTATTGAATAAAAAAAAATAGAGAGAATTAAACAAAAATATTTAAAAAAAACTAAAGAAATGCATTGAACACAATTTATAAGCAATACAATATAAATGGAAGGGTACTAAGATGTTTCTGAAAGCACATTAAAATTTTTACCACTTTGAAAAAAAATTATGCCAAGTGTAACATATAATTTTGATTTTGAACAACAAAATTTTTTAATAGATTTTAGATTTTGAGACTCAATATGTTATTTATTTCATGGCCACTTAAATGATTCTTAAATTATCCCAAAAAAACGCTTAATGCATCAATAAGATAGCAGCAACCATGTTGTTCCGGCAAAACAATGAGAAAACTTATGTATCTTTTGCAGAAGAGTTTTTCATTTTTTTTTTAAATTCTTTTGTCATATTTCTATCAGTTTTCTGATATTATTAGGGGAAGAACTAGAAATAGACTTGAATGAAAAAAAAGGTTATAAAAATGTATAAATTTAAAAACATTAAAAAAATTTTGATGTTTTTTTAATACTATGGCCACTTAATGAAGAAAAAAAACAGCAAAGATTGACGAAAAATTTAAAAATAATAAACAAAAAAAGGGTTATAAAATTAATGTTGATTTTTAGTTTTGAATTCGTGATCTTTTTACACATCAAACCTATATATTAGCTGAATATGTGAACCTTACCATTGTGCCACAAAGACTGTAAATGGCTCTAAACTTTTTATTATATACATCACGAAATGTTTTTTAATACTAAATAACTGAACAGTCATTCAAACAGCTTCAAATTAAATAACATATTTGAATTTGGAATTAAAATATTTACAAAAAAGTTTTATTTGATATAAAGATTTTTTTTTTCACAAGTGGTTCCATTTTCTTGTAAGAGAAATTTCGCAAAAGAAAAATTAACATGTTAATACTATACTAAATTAAAGATCTTATTAATTAAACATATATAATTAAACTTAAATAAGGTGCAGCTTTAAGTTAGTTAACCCTAGATAGTTGCATTACATTGAATGTGAAGTTGAATGGTAAAGTATAGAAGACATTGAGACTCATACACACATTAGGAATTAATTTGATGCATTAACAATTGTTGGTTATTGTAATTACACAATTGAATACTCTGAGAAAGATTATTTGTACAAAAAAAAATGAATAATGATAGGAACCTTGAAATGCACACCTTAAATTATAGCATAGACTCATACACCATTCACCCTTGAATAAGAAACAGTTAATATAAAATTCACAAACTTAGGAAACTTTTTTTTTAAATAAAAGTTGAAAAATGAATGCATAGGATTCTTTAAATTTGTTATATAAATTAAAAATTAAAAACTATCCTAAAATTAATATTTTTGATAGAATTTTTGAAATATATATACATTGAAACCTCGAATTAGGGACACTCTTTCCAAACGGATACCTTTCATTAATCTTCAATGAATGAACCATTATGTATCTTTTCCACAAAGCAGACACTCCCGTAATCGGACATGGACAGTCATTTGTGCCCAGAAACGTTATTTTCTAACTCTCCAAACTGGACACCACTTTTCTAAATTTTAAAAATAATTATTTCTACTTTAAATGTAAAAAAAAAAGAAGAAGGAAAAACGCATCTTACCGCCATTTTTTAAAGTATGTTAATTTTCTGCCTTATCTATAACTAAAAATACTGTCTCTATTGCCTTATCTATAACTGGAAATAACCATACTACTAAAAAATCAGTTATTCTCCTCTCCTCTTCCTTTACCTATGCCAAAAAATTAGAGATAATGATACTGCTCATGTTTAAATGCTCTCAATTTTCCTTCCTCACTGAAAATTCCTTTCGACTTCTAATCACTTGACCTCTGTACTTAACACAGCATGGTTACAAAAAAGAGAAAAGAAATCTAGCAATCTAAGCAATCCTAAAAATCCAACATAATCTAAGCAATCCTAAAAATCCAACATTCTAGACAAATGATCATTGTGAATGCAACAACCCCATAGGACCTCATATTTTACAGGTACGTATCACATTTTTTTTTCTATGTATCAAAGGAGGTTTACTTTCAAGAAGGTATTTCCTCTTTTCCTATCAAGGGATGAGGATATTTTAAGGGGGGGGGGGTAAACCAATTCATTGAAATGGAGAGTGATGAAGATGAAACTGATGGTTTCTAAAAAAGAACCAAACAAGAAAACTTTATGAGATGCCCAAACTTGTATTGAGAAACTAAGGTATTTTTATTCCTCCAAAAATGAAGAAATTGGTGTAAAAGAGCTAAATGATTTGAAGATGTGCCATAAAGATGTGGTAAATCACAGCCGACTAAAACAAACTTCTATCACATTTTTGTTTTCAACTGGCTACATTTAAAACAAAGGCATTTATCTTTTTGGACTCAAAATAATATAATTTTGTTAAGTTTGAAAAAATAGCAATGTAAATAGTTACATTATGTTTATATCATTGCACTTAATCTAAAAGCAATTTATCGCATAAGCTTTCATTTTTTGTGAATCCTTCCTGTAAATGAACAATTTTCGAAAGTGGACCAATTTTTTTGATTCCAAGAGTGTCCGATTTACCCAGATTTCACTATACACTTTCCCACGTTTGGGTTGTTTATTTGCTTATACATAATAATACACCGTTGTGCTTTATAAATGTTTTTGAACATTCTTTATACTAAAATTAAATAGGGACCCACCATTTAGCTTGGAAAATCTTCACTGCAGTAACCAGAAACTAAAAATTTCTGTAAAGATCCTCATTATAGTGTATTATGGGATGTCACATCAGTACAGCACATCAGCTCATTTTGAAAACATTTGTAGAAAATGATGCAAGTGAAATTGACAAGAAATAACATGTAGTGCAATCAACATGAATTATTGGTCAGAAAGAAATAGTTTTATTTGAATTAATCTCTAAAAGAATTTTTTTAAAAAGTATTTTTAAGCAAAAACATATTTATATAAGTATTTTTAAACAAACATAACAATCAAATTAATCCTTAAATGGTGAATAATTCAGAAAATTAAAATAATGCAGAAGATTGAAATGAACTTAATGAGTAATATAAATAAGTTTAAATATTCTTTTAAAAATCTGCTTTAAAGTTTCTATATCAGGAACTCCTCACTCGGTTATCTGCAAACAATTGTTTATATTAATCCGAGGCAATAAACCCATACGAATACTCAGGATGAGTAAACAATTTAAATAAAAAGTTAGAAACCAAAAATATCTTTAAAATTTTGTTTTGCTTATTTTTGGTTTCTAACTTTTTATTTAAATTGTTTATGTAAGACAAATTTGGTTTTAGCTGCTTTTAGCGCTTTTCCATTTTGACTTATTATTTTACAGTTTTATCCTAAAATTTTTATTTTAAAATTTGTTTAAACCAACTTCTCAGGAATAGTGTCATTGCAATAGCATCTGAGAAGCACCACTAGAGTAAAATTATTAATTGTAATGGAAACATTAACACCAAAACCAACAACATACATATATGCACTAGCAATACTATGTAGTTTTAAAAATAATATGCAAACCAATAAGAAATTAAAAAGTTATTAAATAAATTGTTATTTTACACACTTTTGGAATATTTTTAAAGTAAAATCAATGTTGAACTTACTTATGTGAAATAGATTGCACAGGCCCAAAAACTTGTTCAGGAGTAACTTCACAAAATGTCACACAGTCCATCTAAAATATATTGTGTTGTTTATAATGTATTTGTTTTTATGTAATAAAATTTAATTAGCAGTTTGTTGTTAAAATTTCTGACATATAAATACCAACTTATATATGTAATAAAATAAAATTCTTATTTTGAACTTTTTAAAAAGATGAAACAATTTAAGCCATTTTTTTCAAAAAGAGATCTTGAAAACACTTAAAAGTGTAAATTAAAAACTAATTATTCTATTTACCTATTCATAAATTATTCTATTAACTTAAGATTAAATTATTCTATTAACTTATATCTACAATATTACACACTTATCTTTGGTAAAGACATCCAGAGAATTAATGTGATATTTAAGCTAAAATTGAAGTATTAGAGGTAAGAATTAAAAGGAATGAGTAAAATGAGCCAAATAAAGGGAAAAACTTCTGCATGTATTTAGATTTAATGGAGAAAAAAACTGCTGTTGATAATTCTTAAATGAACTGAAATTACTGAATAAAAGCAAATTTAAAGAAAACATGAATGAAAGTTGATTAACAGTTCCACACCTACTTGAAAGTAAACCACCTAGAATAAGAATTTAGGTTTATATTATCTTTCTTTTTTTTTTCTTCAAAAATATTTCAAGTTTATTGTGCAATAACATGAAAAGAAATAAAGGAGTAAAAATTTTCTTTGAACCTTCATACTTTAAATCAAATAATTCATTAGAATCATTCATTGTTTTGGAAGTACAAAATATTTAACATTTGTGTAAGTGATAATTTTAGAACTGAAAAAATTAGACAACAATATATCTGCAGTATATTGAAAAGCTCATACATTTTAATATGCTAAAAATGACATTGCATATATGGTATAGCAAATACGTAAGTATTGACGGTGATAATGGAAGAGTCATTGCATTGAGCGTAGACTAGAGATTCTAATGCAGAGTAATTTTTCTTGCTCTTCTAAGGCAGAATAGCTAAATTACTTAATATTTTATTACACAACTCATTGAATAACTAAGCTAAATCTGCAAATGTAAAGCTGACTGTAAAAAACTATTTTCAAATTTGAAATCAACACATAATCAAATTTATACCTCTGGTTACAAACAAAATTCTTCCAGTTCAAGTAATTATTACATACAGTGGAACCTGTCAAATTCCTCACCCTGGAAAAATGATGAACTGACTAATGTGGCAGTTTACCAAATTTTTATTTTCATCAAAAGGGCTCTAAAAGTTTGAAATATGCTGGTAACCAGCAAAAATTTCTGATAACAAGTAAAAATAAAGCACCTCTCACATTTCCAGTTTTTTTCCTTCTAAATTTGAAGTTTTGTTGAATATATTCATGCATAAAATTCAAATATTTACATTTGAAATGAATATTACAAATGAATGAAATACTTATTACAACATAATAAAATGTTATGAATTTTCTTGAAAGAAATTTCAAAATGATGAAACTCAGCGTAAATTCAAAGTATTATATTTTCACAATTATAGTATATTTATTATTATATAAATTTATATTACATAAATTTGACATAAGGTCTTTTAGGTTAGGTAACTTTATAAATTGGGATGCAACTTCGTCAGATTTTTCGCGTCCGTGGTATCAAACAACTTTTGAAGAAAAATTCTGAAATCACGAACCTCATTTAAAAGTTATGCAATTTCTGTGAATTAAACATGTGTTTTCGATTTTTCTTTTAAAATAAAATTGAATTGCCCAAAGTTTTCCCTTTTTAATATAATATTAAATGCTCATGGTAACGGGCTCAATTTTGTGCAAACTGCATCATAAATCCATGTGGTTTTATAGAAATTTTTGTTTTCTGAAATTCGGATGTTTTTAATTGAATATTATTACAACAAATTCATTTCAAATCAAGCAATCGATGATAACTTTTTGATGCACTCATTCAAATTGTGCAGTGAATTCATTGTTTTTTTAACCACTTTTTTAATGGTGGTTATACCATGGATTTCTACCCAATTTTTAAAATCCTGGTATTTTGAAAAAACGATATTATTATTACTTACTCATGAATCTCAAATTGCGCATAAGAGTAATCACATCTTGATTTTTGATCCCATTTGCTTGGTTTGGGGCAGATTTCATTGTAAATTCATGTAGTTTTACAGCATTGATTATGCAGATGAATTTCGAATCACCCATTAAAACAACTCATTGACGCACACATTCGTTTCACGCCGATTTTTCTGTGAATTCACATTGTTTTTAGAACCAGTTTTTAATACAATACCACCTGACACAAATCGATTTTACTTAATTTTAAGATCCCAATATTTTTACATGAAACTATTATGACACATGAATCTCTAATTACACATATGATTAATAAACTATCTGTTTTTGACAACATTGGTTCAATTTTGCACCAATTTCTCATAAGTCCATGTGGTTTTGTATCGAAATTCAGCAGCTAATATTATGAATTCCTTCGTGATTTTTTAATTCCTATTTCTTCACATGATATTATTACAAAACACAGTATCAGAAATTTGAGGAATAGATAACGGAAAATTGGAATTTTCATCATTGAAAATACATTGATTAAATAATTTTAAATATAGAAATATTTTGATTATGATTTTAAATATGAAAATCAAAAAATAAAACTTGAAACTATCACTATAAAAATTTAAAGGAATCTCTTACATTATATAAAAATTGATTCACTCAATTAAAGAAAATTTCTACTATGTAAAAAAATATTTTTAGATTTTCAAGTAAGTTAGATTTGCAAGTGTAGTAATAAGGTATGCACAAAATGGTTAGAATAGGTATGCACAAAATGAATTCAGATAATAACATTAATTTACAAATGATGGGTTTCTGTATCTATTGATAGCATATAAATCTTTCTATATTTCAAAATCCTTAAAAATTACTTGAGTTTTATTGTGCCAAACCAATAAAATATCAACAATTACATCTCTACAGAATAGTTCACTGTCTTAAAGGAATAGAAACAAGGATTGAACACTATTGACCATTTTTTATGAGTGTAAAAAGAATGATGAATGTCTAACAAATGGCGAACAGCGAAAAATATTCCATTTGACAAGAAATAAAAAATATTCCTATTTCATTTCTATAATTGCATTTAATAATAAAATTGCCATAATGGAAAACATAAAAATTATTCTCTAAGATGATCTACTTAAAATTTATTCTCTATGTTACTGTATATTGACAATATATTGTGCTTTCAAATATTTCCCATTTTTGATGTCTCATAAAAGGTGCAACATAAAGAGAAAGTTAACTAATTGAATGTTAACTGATGTTATATAAACAAATTAAATAATGCATTCAGACAAAGATATTATGTTTATAATTTTGCCTTTTCAAAAAAAGAAATAGATTTAAAAAATAAGACAAATATTGACAGAACAAAAAAATGTTTTGAAACATTTATGAACTTTAAAAATAATTAACAACAATTTGAAAGTATCTCTAATTCTCAGTATTATTCTAACAAATGTTCAAATAAAGGACATTTTATTGATGAAGAAATAAACAGAAGAGGCAAAGATTAATCTTACTTCCCAATGTCCAGTTGAACGAGCATGATGAATAACATGCAATAAAGCTTGGACATCGTGATTTAGATTAGAATTTTGATCTCGTAAAAAGCCATTTTCAACTTTTAGAGCTGTGAGATGCTGCTGAGAATCCTATAAAAAAACTTATTCAAATAAATATCAAAATAATTACATAATAAGAAAACAAAATTCAATATATCAAAAAAAATAACACAAATGTTACAAGCTACTTCGATCAAATGTTACTTTTTTTAATTTGTTACACATTGCTAGAAGTGACAATATATTTTACAAGAATGTGAACATTAATTTTATAATAACTACATAAAACTGGGATAAGTTACAAATGTAAGATTATTTTTAAAAAATCTGAGCATCATGAAGTTTTATGAAATTAATTTATAATTGCTATTAAATTATTAAATTTATTTACTTCACAAGAAAAAATAAAAGATTTCAACCATGAATACAATAAAATGCTTTATCAATTTATTCATTTATTCACAAGAAAATTGAAATACAAATTTCAGAAACTAGCCACTACAATTTATTATAATTCACTAATAACTATTAACATAAATTACATCTTAAAATAGAATTTCTGATTTACAAGAAAATTTTAGGCAATAATAAAGTTCTAAAAAAAACTAACTGTAAAAGTTTTGATTCTAAGCCTAGTCTTCTTTTACATAGAAATGTTCAACCTAAAAGTCTGAACTAGATTAACCTTCAGAGACCTATTACTTATTTATGTATTCTAGTTGTTAATGATAATGCATTTTTCTCTATTATTCTTATTTCTATTGGCAAGCATTGATGTACAATAGAAAGGAAGGTAAGGTCATACCCTCATTTAAAATAAATTTAGATGTTCTTATGAAGAAAAAAAAATTTCCCTTTAAAGAAATAATGCATCACTGCTGACCAGGGTGCTATTTCACCAACTAGCAAGTAGCAAATCGCTATCAGAACGAGAAGCAAAAATTACTAGTAATCTCGTATGGTCTGATTTTACATTGCAAAATGTATTGTGAACTTTAAAAAATGCTTTAAGTAATCTAGTTTAGCACTTGCAAACTTTATTACTGATCTTAAGAAATAAAATCAGGCCCTGTTTGCTGCCAGAAATAAATTTCAAAATAAAATAAAAATTTTAATTATTTTTTAATACAAAATTTGTTTCATAAGAATCGAAATAAAACAATTACTATTGGCTGCTTTTTACAAAAAAAGGAAAGGATCAAATCTTCTTGTGAGTATCAGACATTTATTTTAAGCAGACAATGACAATTGTGACATTAATAACATTTTAAGATTTGATTTATTAATAATAAAGAATTTTTATAAACATTTTTAATATAGAAAGAAGTGCACCTTATAAACGGATTCAATGTAGATGCGCTCTTCAACCAACCTCTTTATTTCTTTTTCATATTCATGCATATTAATCACAGCTTCCTAGATATAAAATATAAGTTTAACAAAATTTATTACAGAACTTATAGTCGTTATAGAATGTAAAAGTAGAGCTGCAAGATAAAAGGCAATTAATATAATTTTAGAAACTAGAATAAGCAGAGAAACAAAGTCCGAATTTAAAAAATATTAAAGCGATAGGCCTAATGTTCTGCATTAATATTTTTTAGTTAGATGAATGTACAAAAGGATAAAAGCAACTTAAAATTTTAAGTGAGTTACAAGCATCCTTTCTTTTGCATTAAATATAACAAATTTTGTGAACAAATTTCAAAAAATTCACATGCCTAAATTTAACTATCACTGCTGATATTTTGTACACCTTTAGAAGATAGTATGTTACAGCTTTAATATAAAAAATGGAGGCCAAGGCCAAAATTGTGTCCTTCTACAAGAAAAGTGTATGACGAGCACCCAAAATAGATACACCAGAAAAATTATATATCTGTCATTTATGACTGAATACTTATAAATATAAATGGAAATAGAGTAACATCAATGTTTCTCAAATACGTAGATCTTTTTCCACGAAACAAAAAAAATAATAAAACCTTTACTTAAAAATGGTAAATAAAATTGTAAACTAAAAAAAACTATCAGTGTAATTTAAATAAAATTTCTATGTATTCATTTTTCAAATAACAAACAAAATGTCATGTTAGTTTGTTTAATTTTAATAAAAGTTGAAATACTATATGTAACACAGCTGGCTGCAAAAAGAAAAAAAATCAGCAGGTACTATGAAATAAAAGTTTTATGCTAACTTTTGCCTAATATCAAAAATAGGGATAAAAGAAATTTTAGTCAATAGGAAAAAAAATAAATAAATATATATATATATATACACACCGAAGAGCCATTACATTATGACCACCCTGCTAATAACATGTAGGACCACCTTTAGCCCTCAAAACTGCTAGCACCCGCCGTGGCATTGATTCCACAAGGTGCTGATAGGTAGTCTGAGGTATCTGGTACCAAGCGCTCACCAACTGGTCCTGCAATTCCCTCACATTGCGAGGGGGTAGCGTGGCAGCACGAATTTGGTTTTCCAAGTAGGACCACAAATGCTCTATTGGATTAAGGTCAGGTGAATTTGGGGGCCAAGACATGACTTGAAAGTCACTGGAATGTTCCTCGAACCAATCCATGACGATTCGACCCTTATGACATGGTGCATTATCCTGTTGGTAAACACCATCCCCCGCAGGAAAAACTGTTGCCATGAATGGGTGAACCTGGTCTGCAACTATGTTCAAGTAGCTTACAGACGTCAGGGATAGTTCTATGAGGATTATGGGTCCTAACGTGCCCCATGAAAACATTGTTCCTGGGCAAGAAACCATTAAAACCTAGGCGGATGGAGGGTGGTCATAATGTAATGGCTCTTCGGTGTATATATATATATATATAATCGAGAGAGATTATGCTAATAATAACTAATTCAACCATAGATTAATTGATATAGACCAAACAAAATACATAAACATTAATAATTTTTAAAATGAAAGAGAAAGTACTTCCCCAGATCCTTAGATATATCTATCAATAATGAATCTTTCATGCATGTTTATCAATCTAGAGTTAAATTGACAGCAATATTTTCCATTTATGGTTCATATAAAATGAACTTTAAAATGTTTTATTATGATAATTATACTTTTGAATACTAATAGATATTAAATTTATTTTAGTTAGTTAAATATATTTATTAATTAATTCAAAAATAGAAAAGTTCAAAATAATAAAAAATGAAATTTAAGAAAATAAAAGCTTCAAACTGATTACTTTAAATGAGGAATTATTTATTACTTAGCAGTAATGTTTATTTAAATGTTCAAGCGAGCAATAAATTATGTTAAAAACTATTCTTGTAGGTATTTCTTTAGGAACTCTCCTAATTTTAGGGAATATTCTAAGATTTACAAAAACTAAGAGAATTTTTTATTAAACCAAGAAAAACTGGCAAATTTCAGGATAGTAAGTAGTTATGACAAAGTCTCTATAATTAACACATGATGCAGCTATATAAACTTATCTTATGCAGCTTTTGTTCTGTTGCAAAATTTCATGAAATATTTTTTAAGGGTAATGATCAAATATTTTATTTAAAAATTTTTACCTCTTTGAAACTTTTTTCATTGATAGAGCTAAAAAAACACTTTCACTTAGGTTTAAGTATAACTATAAAAAATATGTATTCCATGATGGTATATATTTAGTTACAAATAATATTACCAATTTTTAATTTGCTTCAGGTAATAAAATATTAAAGAGAAATAGTTAGATATAGTATTATCAATTATCATTAATAAAATCCTATCATGATGTTCACTCTTTAAAAGTCACATTCAAATAGTTGCATGAAAATTTGCATAGCAATTTAAAAGCATAAATAACTTTTTATTTATATAAAGGTCAAAAGCATTCTGTGCAGAAGAAAAACTTCCTTTTTTTACTTTTGAAAGTAATGTAAAATCAGGTATTAAAATAATATTTCAAAATTTGAAAAATCATTTATCACTGTATGGAAAAGTTGCAGCAATTGATAAACAGTTGCCTAACATACAACACATATGAATCTTTATTTGAAATAAATCTAAAAAAATCTTGTATTGATTTAAAATAATGCAACAAAAAATCTGCTTTGCTCTACTGAAATTTAAAAAAAATTTAATTTTAAATCTTGAGAGCATTATAATGTTTGAAATGTTAGGCATTTGCTGATATATGTTTCATTTTTTACAGGAGCTCTTATTTTTAAAATAAAAGACCATCTATGAAATTTTAATAAACAATTTATAATTTTTATTCAATCAATTTCCAAATTCAATACGAATTTGTAAACTATACTTATATGATAGAAGTTCATAAAAGATACATTCAACATACATGATAGAATATTGTAACAACTCTTATAGACAGTAATTAAATTTAAAAATGTTCCAGTCCTAAAAATATTGCATTGATATTGAGAAGTATGAAAATAACTGAAAGAATTTCTAAAATGAATTAATTACTAATCATTGCTAAACAAATTTGTATAAAAAATTATAGTAAGAAGTAAGATTATATAAAGTAGAATAATTAAAAATCAATCAAAGAAAAATCAAAATAGATTAAGAAACTACCATTGAATTAATGAGGTTTTAAAATGAAAAAGCTACATAAGTTTCAGGTTTCAACAACTATATCAAGGTTCAAAAAAATTTAATAATAAAAAACTATACTTTATCATAGTAAAACTTTAACAAAATTCAGATGTTAATTGTTAACGTCTAAAATTCATCAGTTAATTGTAAATTTAATATATGTTTTTCGTGAGTTATAATGTAAGAAAAGATATAAGTTTTCAGGAAAAGGAAAAACATATACCACATAACTTGGTGTACTCCTTTGCAAACTCCTAAAATTTTGCGAAAATTATAGGGTCAACTTATACATTGGTAATAAAATTGAACATTTGGTGGTCATAAAATAGTGATGCATTATTAACAATGAGATAGATATGAATAACTATATCAATTTCCCCCTTGTAAAAATTATTTTTTATATGATATATGTGATTAATTTTACATTTTCTCTCATCATATTTTCTTTACAGAAAATACTTTTTTTTTAAATAATACTTTAAATTACATCAAGAAAATAAGTAAGAATAAGAGAAGACAAAATAATTTATTCAAGATTATTTCAAATAATATAACACAGTGAAAAATTTTTAAACATAACATAAAGCTACAAATGTAAAAATTCCAAAACATCATGTGTTGGATTCAATAATGGTAGCAGTGTCATCATATGGAACCCACTCTACTTCATCCTCATCTGCTGAGTCCCACAAAAAATCATCTTCATCCCCATCCAAAAAATTTGAAATTCTACACTTTTTTTAAAGATTTTACAATAAAATAGAAATTTTCATATTTGGTTATTGCAGCAGTAGACTTCATCTGACGTATCAGTAATTTTCGATCTCATAATCGAAAATAAGGGGTTGAATTATACACCGAGATATACAGTAGTTATTTTTCTAAGTCATTAGATGAATATTTCAAAAAATCTTGACTCACCATTGTTGTTTTAGCACTATTCTTTAATCTTTTTTCCATTTGTTTAACTCTCTGTTGGGCTTCCTTTTCTAACTCAATCATGGTTGATGCAAAAGTATCATTTTGTTCGTAGAGATGTTTAACATATGATTCTAAAGCTATAATTTTCTCCTTTAGTACAAAAATAATGGGAGATGTTAGTGGTTAGTTTTTTTTACATCAATCACTTAATTTAAACTCTTGCAAATAAATTCTGACAAAATATAATTTATTTTATAAGAATCATATTCTGTTTAAGACAATGCCCCAAATTAAATTCAAATTTTATGAAACTTGTCCTCAGCTAAAAATGAAACAAAAAATAACATGACTGAGATTTTTAACAATATAAATATGTTGTTGTTGTTAATTTACGTCGCACTAGAGCTGCACAATGGGCTATTGGCGACGGTCTGGGAAATATCCCGGAGGATGATCCGAAGACATGCCATCACAATTCTGATCCTCTGCAGAGGGGATGGCACCCCCGCTTCGGTAGCCCAACGACCTGCGCGCGAAGTCGAGCACTTTACGGTAGCACAGTTTAATGAGGACCAATACCGCACATCCTCGGTCCCTACGCAGACTGATCCAAGTGGTCACCCACCCGCACACTGACCGCAGCCAGTGATGCTTGACTTCGGTGATCAGCTGGGAACCGTGTCTTAACGATCAGTCTACTGCGGGACACAATATAAATATGAAGTTTCATAAAAGGCATTTTTTTTTCTTGACAGATCATTGAATAAGATAGTTTTTAATGAAAAAATATTTTCTCTAAAAGCTGGATGCTGTTCTTATGTTTTCTTAAGCTGATATTTCAAAAATCTCTAAATCATGTCCTTCTATCTATTTCCACTAAACTCTTCTGTTGTAAAAGTAATAGGCTTTTATGAAACAATATAAATATGAAGTTTCATAAAAGCCTATTACTTTTACAACAGAAGAGTTTAGTGGAAATAGATAGAAGGAGATGATTCAGAGATTTTTGAAATATCAGCTTAAGAAAACATAAGAACAGCATCCAGCTTTTAGAGAACATATTTTTTCATTAAAAACTATCTTATTCAATGATCTGTCATGAAAAAAAATAAAGTTCTGTGCTGCATATATTAAGCTTTTAACCCAAAACCACTCTGGTAGAAAGTCACTTCATATCATGATGTTTTTGATAGAAAAATTATCCTTAAAATTAACCATATTGTTTCTTATTTTTAGGACACTAAAACATTAAACATTTAAAACATTAAAACATAAAGAAATAATTTTATCTGTGTTAATAATATAATTAGATAAACCCATTGTATTTAAGAAGTTGTTCATCAAATTAATAAATAGCAATCATTAAAAGAATGTTCTCAAGTATTAAATACACATTGTTTTTGCACTCTCAAAACTGCAACCGAAAAAAATAATAATAAAAAAATCTACCACTAATTTCAAGAATATTTTTCAATCAATAAAAGTTCGACAAACAATACAAAATAAACCCATTATTAAAATATTAGAACAAAAAAGTAAATATTTTTCATTTTTAGGTAATTATCGATTTTGCAATTTAGACTGAACTAATCCAAAACTACAAATTATTCTTTCCGATTGTCAAAGAAAAAGTATTAAGCAATTTTTTTAATTGGCAGAGATGCTTTAATTTTTCAGCTGGTCTTCTAGCTTAAAAATTTTCTACCAAACTATAGGTTCAACATTTAGAAGTTGATCAACAAGTATGGATTTTTTATGAGTAAGTATAGTGGATTAGAGCATGTGCTCGTTTATAGATTAACTTTCTTTTTTTAACTGAAAAATTTATTTATAACTATTGCATACTACCAATTTTTATAGCCTTTTTAAAATACATATAAACTAAGCATAATCAGGGTTCATACAGAGATCAGAAGAAGAAATCTAAGGAGTATCCAAGGAGTCTGAAATTTTAAGGACTTATCAGAAATTTAAAAACTGTGTGAAAGATAACTAGACAGTTTTTTTTAGTTTTTTTTATTAAAAAGCAGTTATTTTATGAACCTTGGAAAAATGTTTATTTTGCATATTTTTTTCTAGCCCTTTTGAAATAAATTTTGACTTTGTCAAACTTCATCAAGAAAAATAAATAAAGTTATCACTTTTACACATAAATACATTTTCCAGTTTCAAATATTTTAATAATTCTTGTTAAAGTATAGATATTAAAGATTAATATAAGAACCTACCAATCTTACATTTTAAAATTTGAATACGCAAAAAAATCTAAGGCATTTTATACAAAAAAAATTAATAAATAAATAAAAATCACAGTAAATTATTAAGTTTGCTTGTAACATGTAAAATTTAAATTATTTGCTGCTATTTTTTTCTTCTAACTTTCTTTTTGCAAATCAATTTCTTTTTCTTCTGAAGTTTTTCTTAAACTATTAGATTATTGACAGCTAAGTCATATTTGATTAGCTAAGCCATATAATTTAGTTGGACAGCAAATTCATCAGCGGACTTAGTAAGTTCAGCGATGCTACGCAATAATCTAAGGAGTTTCTAGGGACAAATTGGGAAATCTAAGTAGTTCCAAGTACTCCTTGGAAACTTTTTTATTTCCAAGGAGTATAAGGAGTCTGTACGCACCCTGTGTAATATTACATTAAACAAACTAGAATGATTGCTGATGTTTGTTCAGTTGATTTTTAAGGTGATTATTAATAAAGTCACTACACAATAGTAAATGAAATAGCATACAGAAAAAAGTAAAAAAGAAAATAATGTTAAAATTGTACCTGTGCTTTTTCAGTTTCATTCAAATTCTTGTTAGTTTCAATAGCTGAAAGTCTTCGATTATAAACATCTTGAATTAACTTTAAGAATATAGGCACATCTGATTCAAAATCTGAATTCGGATCATTAAGTTCAATTACAGTGGAGGGCTTTACATTTCCATTTAAAAAGTTTGTCTCACTTTCTGTAGTTTCATCATGCTTGTCATTTTTAAAATCCATATTCCAAAATATTAAACTTGCATTGTTTGATTGATATCTAAAAAATAAATAATTGTAAATCTTTAAGATAATCAATAAAGATAAACAGTACAGCAGAGAAAACATAAAAAAAATAATGCACTAAATAGCTTAATCAGAATCAAAACATTACTTTGAGCAGATGGAAAAGTCATGACATACTTTCTCAAACAGAGCGCTGATTTTTGAAAATACTAAGTTATTTGCAACTATGTCACAATTTTACTTCATTTAACAATTAATAAGTGAATATCATTTAAGAGTCATATTCCTGATATGTTCAAGCTTAATTAAACACCATTCCTATTGCTCCTTACGTATTCCTGAATCCAAATATACCCAAATTCTTCTCAAACACCATTTTTTAGGGACCTCATCTTCTATGTTTATCACTTTTGAAAAATTTTATGGTCTTGAATTTCAGCTATTTAATTTAAAAATAAAAACATATTACTATAGAATTTATAAAAAAAAAGTTATTACATCTGGTGCTTACTTTCCTCTTGTATCAAACATCTCCCCTTACAAAAACAGGTCTTAATTTAAAACTTTTCTCTCCTCTAGATCCTTAGAAGAAATTTAACAGTTAAAAAACTATTTTCTTTTCCTCCTCACCAGACAGCCCATTATGGGCCAATGCCTTCCTCTAAAGCAGGGGTCCCCAACCCTATGCCCGCGGGCACCATGGCGCCCGTCGATCGGTCTAGGTGCGCCCGCTGNAAAGATTTCTCCATAACAACTTCCTATTTACCTTTGATCTCAAATTCTTTTCACTAATTGCAAGAAAATCAGATTCCACTGAATCATCCCATCTGAACCACATACTTCCCCACTTTCTTGTTCCAGTTCAGCTCTTGTTCTTTTATCCAGATAACCCTTAATCTTATGGCCATAAAATTAATAAAAAGTAATAAACAGGGGGAGGGGAGTTCAGAAAATGATGGGTGATTTAGAGAACAGGAGTAACATTCAGATTCAGAAGGTAATTTTATGCATGAATCAGTGTGAATGTTTTGAGGGCAAATTTTTGTACATAGCAATTTTATTAATAAAAAGTTAGTATTTAAATAACATGCAAAATGTATGGTATTCAGAAAAGAATCTGCAAAAGTCAATAAATATTGTAGCCCTGGTAGCAGAAAACCTCCAGCATGACAGCAAGCAATGTAGATTATTACACCATCTGTAGATTATTTATTATCTCAGATTTCAATAATAATAAACTGCTGGCAAGACGATGTTATTTTCTTCTTCTTTTTTAAAATAAATAAAATTGCAAAATAAAATAGAGATGAAACAAAAAAGTAAAGTTTTTTTTCTTTTAGTTCCTTAAAGATTAACATTAAGGAATGAATCATAAGTTCACTCTTTGAAAACTGACACCAAAAACAATTTATCAAAAGGTGCAGCTTGCATGAAGTGCTTCGGCCATACAATTGCTGAAACTTAGGTTTGCAGTAAAGGTTTTTATTTTGGGCTCAAATACAATTTTATTCACTAAAATATATTCATAAGGGGTGAAAACATATCTAAAATTTTAAAAAGGAGAGAAAAAATATTTAATTATTCTTTTAACAGTTGTTTTTTTCCGCTTTTTTTTTTTTTTAGAATGCTACTCGTCTTCCAACCAGGAATCTGAGATGATAGAATAATCTGATTGGATATTTAGAAGTTTCAACAATAGATAAATTTTATTTTTCCTTACAAATATTATTATGTAAAATTAAGATTAATAAAGCATGCATTTCTGAGCAGAATTTTTTTAAACTATTTTATGCTTAAATTTAGCTATAAGTATGTTTGGTAAGCCAAATTTTTCCATTAATAGTCTGATAAGTTTTACTTTGAGTGATGTATCTTAGAGATAATTTATTTGATTTTATAACCAGCGTTGAACAGCCAACCCAAATTTGAGTACACGACTACCGATGTTCAACTCTGTAGCAATGTAATTTTGAACCCAATCCAGAAGACAAAGAATCTCCTAATATAGGGAGAAATTTGCCTTTGTGGAGGACTTTTTGATGGAACTAGACCGCATTTGAGTAACATGGAGAGGAAAACCACAAAAACCTCCCACAGTTATCCTGATGGTAAGGGGACTTTAACCCATGATCCATCTTCGACTGAGGATTTTATAAAGTGCAAATCATTGTGAGCATATGCAAACTTTATCAAACATGTTGTAAATAAATTTTGCTTCATGAAGTATAATAAATTTGTTGTAAATAAATTTATTTATTGTTTTTTATTACATATTTTTATTATTTCTTAAACTCTAGTTAATTAGTTTCTTCCTAGCAGTAATAAAATTTTAAAAATAAATTACTGTATGTTCCATTAATAGTAAAAAAAAAACTGAATTATAACTAAGATATTTATAGCCAAAATTAATCTAAAAAAATTAGAGTTATGTGAGGTATTCAAACCTAAGAACAACAAAAAGAAAACTTATTCAGGCAATTTCATCATTACAAACATATTATTGGCAGACTTTAAATACATATAGCTCAGTCTAATAAAATTCAAGCCATTTAAAAAAAAATTGGAGTAATTGTTGGTGTTATATTTGTATTCATTGCAGTTTTTACACAGAAATTTAACATTTATTTAAAAAAAAATTTAAAATTAAAAAAAAATTTAAGATTAGTATAAATATTACTCTGAGTTATTTAAAGTAAAAATATTAAAACTGCTTGACTTTCTCATCTAAAGTTTTAAATGTTGAATAGCTTACAAATGTTACTAGCATAATGATGGAATTCCCTATTTCTAGTAAAAAACAACTGCAATTTAAAATTTTTGTATATAAAATTATAATGACACACATTTTTTATCAATATGCTAGTTTTCAATCAACACGATCAGTAAATAGACAGTAATCAAATTAACAAATTTCGTGCTATTGGTATTACAGAATAACACAAAACATGAAATCATATGCAAAGTTTTAGAGAAATATAAGTTAATTTGAAACTCTTTCAAAATAAAAGTTTGGTTATAGAATTATATTAATTTCAGCTTTTTTATGTTTTAATTACATAATTTGTTCCCTAGTTTCTCAAATGCATATATTACTGAATCTTTTGTTTTTGTATTTGTGTCCATGTGAAATTTCCAAAATTTCTCATAAATCGTCCCCTTAAATTTTGACCCTTTTTCCTACGACAAATTTGTAAGATTAATTATAATGTAATGAAATGTACACAGTTTAAAAGTAATTACATGGGAAAAAATAGATTACAAATTGGTAAAATAGAAGATAAAAATGCCATAAATTAAGAATACCAACTTTCAAAAATATAAGCCCACTTGGTTGCATTCCAGTAAAATATTTAAAATTAAGGTTATGCAACTACAACAGAAAATAAAGTAAATTATTGCCTCAAATATATGCACGAAACATTACTTCAAATATTTTTCTTGAAAGTAATAAATTTCTGAATTCTTTTAACTAAATATAAATATATTAATGAAATAACATATTTAAAAACTAAGGTAATAATAACTAACCACACTTGCTAAACAGTTTATAAAACAAACAACTATTCTCGATTCTTAAAAGAAAGCAAAGTCTGTGACCTATTTTTTGAGCTATTATTATGTTAAAGAACATATGTTTCATAAAATCTGAACTCAGACTATTATTCTTCAGAAAAGTATGTTTTTATTCACAAAAACTATCTTCTTCTCAGCCAATAAAAATGTTTTGCCTTAAAAATAACTTGTTACTTCAATGATATTATAAAGAGAGTAAAAAGAGATTGAATGTCAACATCTCTTACTAAATGCAATGAAATAAAGATACCACTATACTAAAGAAAATGCCAATTTAATTATTTACTTTCTCTTGGTGAAGTTGTTTTGTTAAAGAACATATGTTTGATAAATCTCAACTTACTCTTTTATTTCTTAGAATAGAATACCTTTACTTACAGTAATTATCTTATCTCCCTACAGACATGCTTTTTCCAGAAAATAACTTAACATAATGATGTTACAATAAAACCAAAAAGAGCATAAATGTTAACATCTCTCATAAAATGCAATAAAATAAAAAAAATTAGGAGTAAAAATAATATTTTAATTTATACAGAATTGATAATGAGTATATATTTAAGCAAATTGGATTATTTAACAGCAAAGGTGAGAAAAATTATGGCAAATTGAATGAAATTCTTGGAGGGGCCATTTAATTCCTAAAAAAAACTAAACTGTTTCATATCAAAAGCCCTTCAATTTTGAAAACTAAATTCATTTTAATTTTGAAAATTCAATTGATATTTATTTAACAGCAAAGGTGAGCAAATTTATGGCAAATTTAATGAAATTCTTTGATCGACTATTAATTCCTAAGAAAAACGAAACTGTTTCATATCAAAAGGCCAGCAATTTTGAAAATTAAATTCGTTTTAGTTTTCAAAATTCATATGATGTTTCTTTAACAGCAAAGTTGGGCAAAATTATGGCAAGTTGAATGAAATTCTTGGATGAACCATTTAATTCAGCAAAATTATGACAAATTGAATGAAATTCTTGGATGGACCATTTAATACCTAAGAAAAACGAAACTGTTTCATATCACTGCTATTTTGAAAATTAAAAATTACATTGACACGCTGCTACACGGTTTCTCAAAGCACCATATATTAATATTATATAATACAGACATAAATTTAAAAAATTTTGGGAATATTAGTTACACAAGAAGTTCATGAGAGCGATATCAAAAGTAAATTAAGATATAGTTCTCGGAGTTTTGGAAGGAAAAAAAAGTTTTAGAAATGCTGATATTAAAGAAAAGTTTTTAATTAACTCTAATAGAAATTATGGTTACAAAAATAGTCGTAGGAGAATTATGTATGTCACGGAACTTTTATTGAACATTAATCAAGTTTTTAATAGCAACAAACATATTAATAAAATCACAATATTAAAAAGGCTAATTACGGTTCTGGGAAACTAAATCATATATTTTTTTTTGTTTTGCTTGAATAAATCAGAACATAATTTTAACGTAACAATCATCTATGAAACAGCTTTTCAGCTTAGGACACTGAACCAATCTGAGATGTCCACACGATCAAAACAAACAACTGATCTCTGATCGTGTCGATCTGTTTGTAACAGAATCAGAGAGTTTGAGCGAATCTGTATAATATTTCTTTTGAGCTAGGCTGCAAGCCATTAGAAAGCCGAACCTACTTCCTCTAAATGGCGAGTTAGCATATGCATTGAACCAATTAAATTACGAATCACTTCCATGACTCCGGTTTAAACGTAGCAGTGGGAATTTTTTTTTATAATCGATTAAAATGGCGGATGACTTAGCTGTCAAATTTCAAATGCTCTAGTTGAGTAGAACGTACGAAAGTAAATAAAAAATCTGATTATTCTTTCGCAATTATTCAATTTTTAAGATTCTTTTTTTTACAAAGGAAAATTGGATTAAAAATGAATAAATAGAACTTCTCAAAAAGCAGCATTTCCTGCTTTTAAAGAATTTGTGATTTGTACCTTTCTTTTGCGTTGTTGGAAATATAGAAGAAAAATAACGTTTATTTGTGAACTTTAATCATTTGAATTGGGCATAGGTAGGGATTTCAAGTCCCCTCATTAATCCATTTGAATCCATGATTGTACCTCTTTTAGTGGATGGTGTAATCTACACCAGGGTGCGCTGCAAACCTTTTACTGCCTATACTTTCAGGATACCGTTTTTGATATATTTTGAAGCCATTTGGCTCACAACGGGGTCATTGTGTTTTGAGACTCTCTTGAGTAGTTTTTTTTTAATTATTAAAAATATTTTTTTAGAATTACCATGATGCTTTCTTTTAGAACTATGTTTAATGTAGTTTTAAATTCGATATAATTTCCCAAATTGAAAGATTTTGATCTATATAAGATTCAAGACAGAAACTAACGTACTTCCTTTTTCTATGACTCTCTACTTGCTAATGGTGAAAGCATGCGAAGTGTTGCCATAGGTAGAGAGTTCTGTCTACGCCACCTGTAGCCCATTTCGATAGCCAATAAGAATCATCATTTAAAGACCTGTCATTTCAAGATTCGCGATCGCAACACTCGAATACGCCATCTGGGGAGAGACCGGTTTCATGCCTTTAGCCCTTCTCCCTTCCCTCTCCTCCTCTTTTCAGTTATATAGGAATGTACTACGATATTTTCCCTTTTTTTAATATTTTTAAAAATTTCCGCTAATGTTGCCATAGGAAAAGAGTTCTACTCTACGCCACCTGCAGCCCATTTCGATCGCCAATATAAAAATCTTCATTTGAAGAAAATAATTTTATATGTCAACAATATAACAACTTCAAAATTTAAACCTAAATGATAATTTGTTAATTGACATACTCTAAATTAATAAAAAATAATTGTATATTTTACAATTCAAAATTTTTCAACTACTATTTAATAAAATAAATGTTTACAAAAATTTATTTTTTGCATGGATAAACGACTTTCATATTGCGCTCAAACATTTTTCAATTCGCTTAAAAAATTTTCAAAACATGGCGAAATACGCAAAAAGTAAAGTTAATATTAAGGGGTCCAAACTTTGAATCGCTCTCCTGACGAAATTATTGCGACTACCCCTTATATTTCGGAGATCACAAATCCGAATCTGTTGAAATAAGATTCGTTTATTCAGAGAAAGTACGCTTTTTTTTTGTTTGATTTCTTTGAATATATGAATCTGAAAATATCTTTTACTCTAATTAATTAGCATATTTGTGGTCACCCTCTCGAACCATTAAGAACAAGAAGATCCGATCAAAAATTATTCAGGATGAACCTTTTATTTATTTTTTTGGACGCATTGCGTAACAAGCAACACATTCTCGTGCAGTTACCACTCTAACTCTCTAAACTGTGGAGATGTATCCAAAATAAATTTCATTTTTATTCTCTATTTTTGACTGGTACAAAATAGTGCAGAAATTATAATTGCATTTTAACTTGTAAAGGGAAATATGCATATTTTTTTTAAAAAAAATATTAATTTTATGACAAGATAATTTTTTTCTCATACATACTTCTACCTTTATGGCGGAAATTTTTTAGAAAGCTTTCGAAATAAAATCCTAGTCCCATCCTGTGGGTAATTCTATCGATGGAGAGGGATCAAATACAAATGCAAGCTACTTAAATATCACCACTTTTCATGTTTCGTAGTTGGTCATTTTTGGCCCCAGGGCGACCAGATTTGGATGTTTTCATGGTTTAGGTAAGAAATTGCTTCTTTCGTATGAGGCAGGACGCAAATTTTACGTGCACAGGATAAAATTTATTGAGGGTTGGGTTCCTCCTTAAAAACAAAAATAATATTTTTAATTTTTGCAAATAACCTTTAAAAAAAATGAAACATGTTTTCACTTTGATTTTAAGAACAAGTGTTTTCTTAAACAAATTAAATAACTTTCAATTGCTTAAACTTTCACTCGTTTTTACTCTGAAAACTTTTAAAAAAAATACTACAATTTTTGTAACTAAATTTAAATTCCCCACGGGACAATTGTGCCAGTCTTCTTCATTCTCTGAGTTCCTGTATAGTGTTGAAAGTCTTCATTGGACTTTTAAACTCCTTTCAACTACACAAAAGGAGTACAGAAAGTCTAACAAAACAGATTAAATTGGCAATAATGTTTGTAAACGAAATTTACAATGATGTAAAACGCTCAGGAAGAATAATGCTATCTAAAGGATGGCTAAAACACAATCTTATTATCAATAATTTGACAATTAGAATGAAAGAACCATTACTCACCTGCTTATACTCATTTTGTAACATTCTATCACTGAACTAGAAAGTAATGAAGCAAAAGGTAAAAATAAATCCAATGATTCAGAAATTTTTCCTATTAATTTACCATAATGATTTAAATTTAAAATTCAATTGTTTTGAAGTCCATAAACATCATACATATTTTTACTCTGTACATAAATACACATTCAAATATGCTTTTGAAATTCACATACATGCCTATTCCAACCCAAATTGAAGAATGGGACGCGAATCACCACTCTTCATGTTTAAAAATTCAGTACATTTGAAAACATAAGCTTTTAGTTTTAAATAAAGGAGTTCGCTTCGCTTTCACGCATATTGTTTTCTTATTTTAAAATTAGTACAGCTGTATCTCCTTTCTGTTGTCAAACAAAAAGAACTACAAATCAGATAAGACAGGTATCAAAAAAAAATCTCGGTAAACTTTTTTATGTTACACAAGAAGATAACACAATAAACTTTTTTAACATAATATTTTATATGAAACAAAAATTCACTGAATAAAATGTTTCATAAAATGCCCTCTATAGCAATTGATACAGGTATTTCACCCCATTAAAAATGAAATTATTTCAGATTTGTCTGAAACATAGATTAGAGCTGAAATATCATCTTGCTAGTGATGGTTCAGAATATGTAATAATCACATAAAAAAGATAAATTTGAAAGCAACAGTCAGAATTTACTGCTAAATTACAACAGGGTTCCACTCTATCTCAGAAAGAAAATTCTGAAGTTAATTTGAAAGAAATTCCCTAACTTTTCCGGGTATATCAGGAAAATTTCAATTAAAATCCAGACCACATTTTATTTATACCATGCAATTTTTCATCAGAAAACTAAATATTTTTATATTTAAATGTCAAATATTAAATTGGGAGCAAAAAAATATCATTGAATGAGCATGGAAGCTTCACTAAAATCAAACTTTTTTTTAACAAATAATTGTAATAGATACTAAAATTTAATTTGAATCTCAATAACTGATTTCTGTTACTGACTATTCAGACTGGTCATTTTCCAGGGATGATGTAGAAATTTTCCAGGTTTTTGTAAAAAATTGCAACTTTCCCAGCTTTTCAGAGTCAAAATAAAATTTCCTGACAATTCCAGGTTTTCCATGTTCCCCCTGGAAGCCTTGTTACAAGAAATATTGAGTTAAGTCACTACACTCAATTTAAGAAGAGAAAAAAAAAACATTCTTGACGTTTCAATAAAAATTCTACAAAAATTTGAGACTACATTTTTGTAAAACAATAATTCCTACACCCTTCCTGATTGTGTGAACTAAGGCTACAAGAGAATAAAAACAAAAAGAATTTAATAAATTAAGTCATTACTAACAAAATATATATCTTTATATTAATAGAAATACGATTATGTATTGTAATACCACTATTTGGCACCATAGAATTGCCTACATACAGTAAATAGATAAAACTGCATTAAAATATGCCCTTCAAGCCCATCTTTTGGATATACATTAGCGATAGTTGAACCAACTGAGTGTTACTTAAATACCTTATTACACTGAAGGACTTCTAAGAGTGATAGGGTATTTCAATAAAATCAGTTCGAACAAACAGAATATTAAAAATTAACTAAATAAGTATATTATTCTTTACAAGTCATAAATTACAAAGAAAAAGATATTAAGCACCACTGACTGAGAAACACCTTTGAAAATGGCACCTACTACAATAGGAAAAATTAGCATATTTTACTGGTAATGCAATATATAAATGCTTTAACTATTTATTGAAGGCAAAACCAATTGCTTAAAAATATTTCAATTAAGGTAGAACAGATATCAAATATTTGCCTAACATAGGCGAAGGAAATGATTGCAAATATCACAGAAAAGTGGATATTTTTCATATTATCAATCCTTTAACTTAACATGAGTTTTTTAAGTAGATATCTGTTATAATTCAGTATAAAAAATGGTAGAAGCAAGCACAAAAAACAGAATAAATCAGATCATTAAGATTGGCATTTGGCACATAAAGCAATAAAAAGCATTGTTCTTAAACTAGCAACGAAATGATCCGAATCAAACTTAATTTGCTAATTTAAGCTCTTAAAAACAGCCAGAAACTAAATTTCGGACACTCTTCAGTTTTCTTTCTTAATTGCATCCACTAGCTAAGCATGAGTTAGAATTTTTGGTGAGTTGATGGACTTGTGCAAGTGGCTCCAGGGAGTGTGGTAAGTGGAAAGTAGTCAGGAAATAGAAAAAGAGCATTATGTATCCTGTTTTTACTAACATGTATTTTAGTAGAGTTCTTTATAAGCTTGTATTCTGGGATTAATTTTTGTCATCATATTACTACAAAAATTACATTTTTTAAGACTGTTTAATCTATAAGAAACTACTAGGAAAGATTTTCTTTACATAGGTGCATTTAAAATAAAACTAATATTCCATAAAAAAGAAATAATTCCTCTCTTGTTAATAATAGGCCTTCTTAAAAACAGTACTAAATACCATATAGTTTAAAGTTCAAGACAAAAACAGGTTTTATCACTAAAATATTAAATTAAAAATTTAGTCTCTTGAAGGACAATACAATTCTTCACGAAGGAGGCAGTTTTAAGAATTCTAGAATATTTGAAAGTAATAATTTACTCTGTATACAATAAGTTAAAATATTTATGCAGAACAATCTGCAGTACTACAATATTCAAATTTTGAATGCTTTGTTCAATATTTATAGCTTGTTAGGCAAAAGCTTTGAAGGGCATGACCTTCAATGCAGAAGTACAGATCTTTATGCTTTTACATGATCTGCGGATAAATAAAGATTATTTTTTTCTACTCACACTTTTAGTAAAATGTGAAATAATGAACTAAATTAAATACTAAACGAAATTCTGTTACAGGAAGCATTTGAATACTTGGTTTCATTGTATATTTTATTAAAAAAAATTCAACACAAGATTAACAAAACAACACAAGTCTGTTTATATGTAAATTTACAATTTTATTCATTTTAACATACTTACTCCCTCTTACACTTATAACTTAATAGTCTTGTAATCAATGGCATGTGTTACTTAATGACATACTTTTACTGTAGAGTTTAAATATTACAATAAGTAAATAATAGCACCATGACATTTAATGCCTGCAAAATATTTTGCATACTTTTTATGCAACATTGAACTTAAACAATACCCAAACCATCTGTCAATGTTTAATAATAGTATACTAAAAACTTTGAAAATAATTCTATCAAAAATAAATGTAATTATAATAATTCATTGAAATAACAATGCAAGGTAAAATTATAACATAAAACAGCATTAGGCTTAATTAAAGAAAAATAATTTAAAGCATAAATATATATATAATTCATTTGATTATTTAAGAATTCATTTTAAATCTCATAATTAATAAATCATTAAATCAAACATCATTAATAAAAAAATATATACTTAATATTATTTTTTTAAAATTAGATTTAAGAATTATAACTATTGATGCAAATAAAGCAGAGTAGGCAAGTTTTTGCCAGAGGTGGAAAAAACTGGTTAAAACAGCTTCTGCAATAATAGGTTTCTGGCCAACAAAAATAGTAAAATCTGTCTCTTAATAAAAATAAACACCTCTAATTAAATGCATAGTACACATTTTTACATTTAATAATTTTGAATAACTAATGAAAAATTATTAGTCACATACTGATTTGCTCAAAGTAAAATCTAATATAAAAAATATATATATATATATATAAATTAATATTGTGCAAGAAATTGAAAATACATGTTACCAATTAGTTTAAATAATTAAAATTCATTTTTTATATTTAGATATAATAAAATTTTAAATCCCTACAACTGAGGTAAATATGATGTATTACACAATTTTCAGTTAATTACGTAGCTTGTCTCAGCTTTAACCAGTCATTCTCACTAGCCTGACAAAAGCACTTTTCTCAAGCAAATTGTGTTACTCTGAACCAAAGCAAATAAATGTAATAAAATTGTAAATAAATTAACGAGACCAACTATATTACAAGGCGTAAGAATACATTATTGCATTAATTAACACTCAAACAGTATTGCATTAATTAACACTCAAAGTATTGCCTGCATTAATTAATACTCTAACAGTATTGCATTAATTAACACTCACATTAAACTAATGTGAAAAAAATTAAGTAAAATACTTTATGAATAAGATTAAAATTTAGTAAAATTGTGTTAATGCCAAAAGATTCAAGATTGCTAGTACGAGAAAAGTAATATTTACCTTTAAAACTCATATAAATTTAGTTCTTGGTTTAATAGAAGAAAAAAAATCTTAAATAAAATTATCTAGCCCTAAAATACAGTTAATTAAAAAATTTAATATATATACACTTAAAATAGTTATCTTATTTACATCATATATGAAAATGCCTCTTATATGCATTCAACTTTTGTTCAGATATACATGGATTTAAAATAACAAAATTTTATTCACAAATTTACATTATTTTAGTGTTCATTAAAAAACCCCAACTGTATATATTTACAATCAATAGCAAATACTTTTGTGGCAGTATCAATATAAAATATATTAAACCCTAAATTGAAAATGAGTACTTACAAGCTCTTACATTGCACAACTTGTTTGACATAGTTTTAAATTAAAATAAAAACATTTTCCCCTACAAATGGATAGGTTCACAAATCGACACACCAGTCCTTCATATATCACAAGTTACAGTTAAACGTGTAAAATAATAAAAACTTAAGTATTAAAAATGATTATATTGTATAGGATAAGAAAACTTTTAAATGTAAAATATAATAAAAAATGAGTTGTGTTTTCAAAAAAGCAACAAGACTGTAATATACAACAGAATTCTGTATGGAAGTAAAAAAAATCTTTAAATGTTAAAATTAGTTCAATATATTTAAAGTAATGAGCTATGTTTCCAAAGAGGCAACAAGACTGTGATACACAACAGAATCTAATATGGAGGACGTACTAGAAGATTCACTATATTCATCAGCAGAATCTTCATCTTGGACATGGCTTCTATATTGCAAACCACAAGGTTGGGATGAAAATAGATGCATAGGAGATGGTTGTTTTAAAACAAATGGCGATATTGAATCATTCAACAACTTCTGCTCTTCAGTAAGATTCCTATTAAAAGTTGTGCTGTGCGTTATTTCATGACGGGAAACATCAAAATCTTTGTCAGAAAAGAAAGACGAAGCAAAAGCAAGATGAAATTGGACAGGATTAGAAGACAAGTCTGGGTGAGCTGATTGATCATCGTACCGAACCACCGTTTCACCATTTAGCAACGAAGCAGAATAGTCTACACCAAACGATGGATCTCGAATTTGGGGCTTCAAAAGATTGGAATTGGCACTTTCAGACTGCCAACTGTTGTGGCCTTCATTCTGATAAGCAAAATTAACATGAACTGATGAAGTAGAAGCATCAGAATGACATGCCACACTCATTGCTACATCTTTCTGGAGTCTTTTCACGGTGTTGTTAATGAGGACGGAACGTCGGAGGTAAGATTCGGGATCTTCCACTCTGCGAATTTTAGCCATAGAAATTCGAAGTAATCTGCGTCTTTCTTCTTTCCATTTCGAGCGGGGTACAAATAGAACAGGGGAATTAGGGATTATTTCTTCAAAAGAGTCATCATCCTCTTCTTCATCACTGCTATCCCAAGTAAACATATTTCCACCATCACTTTCTCTCTCAATCCAATCCATTTGTTCATAAATCTCATCTTCTTCATCATCTGAGGCTTCATCATCTATAACTAAATTAGCTTTAGCTGCGACTCTTTGTAGCAACTTCTTCCTCTGCATTTTACAATATCTTTCATCATACTCTCCTTTTTCACAATCTAATATCTTTCTTTTTTGAGATGGGGATACAGAATCAAGTGAATATAGGCTAGATAATTCATCAGTAAGGCAGGACACTTCAGCTCCTGCAAAATAAACAAACGGAAATATTAAAAAAAAAAATTTCAATATTAAATAACACCCTAACTTAGAATATTTAAAATATGGAATATAAACATTTAATAAAATCATGTTAAACCAATTACTAGCTATTATAATATAGAAGCTTTAAGCCACCCTTCTTACCGCGTAAGAAAAATACATGGATGCAAATAAGAAACTGATTAGTGAGTTTTCCACTAACTTGCATCCACGTAGACAAAAATTAAAAGCAGATGTAGGAATAAGAATGTTTCTGCTTGACACACCTACAATATCAATTTTCTAATGTACTCTTAATACATCATATTATAAATTATTCAAAACTGGTTTAAATTATATGTAATCCACTTATTTCTAAAACTCAAAGAACCCAGGATATACAAAATAATAATAATAAAATAGCCTTTATTTAGCACTGAAAGGCCAAAACATTGTTTTCTATTTTATCATAAATGAAGAGCGGAAAAGGGTGTAGCAGCCAGACAACATTTTAACATGCTGTGAACAAAAGAAAAAGACCACAAATCTTAAATATTAAAAAAAGTAAACAATGCAGAAACAAATTGAAAAAGTTATAAAAATAAATTATCTATTTTTAAAAAAAAGAATGAAATTTTTTTTTTTTAATTTTGTCATTTATTTCAGTAAAATAGGTGAAATTTAAGGATCCTAAGAAACTAACTTTCCCTAAGGGACTATAGAAAAAGAATAAATAAATGTAATCAAAATATATAAAGGCAGTTCTGATCTTTGCCACTCAAAATACAAAAAAGTAAATTAAAATAAAAATGAATCTTAGGATAAGGCCTAATGTCAATAATTTAAAACTGTTGACATCAACTATTTTTTACTCTAGAAATGTTTTGCTATGCAGAGAAACTGAGATATAAATTATTTTTATATTAATTATTTTTATCCGAAACATTTCTAGCTATAGGGAAATACTGATACTAACCTTAAAATATTTCATTCTACCATAAAATGCATAAAAATTTTAAGTATCACAAAACACTACTTAAAGCATCAATGTTTGTAGCAAAACTATAATGAGGATTTATCTAGACAAACATCTATCTACTATCAGGGTATGATTAAGGAATGTTGGTACTATTTCCTGATAACAATTGCAAGAAACAGTAAAGGCTTTACCAAAAAAACCCTTTGAACCATTGAAAATAATAAACAAAAATATTGCCACTAAACATCAGTGAAAATCCAATCAGGTCACTAAAAAGGAGTTCAAACTACAAATAAAAACAAATATAACATCATCCCTAACTAATAATGCTGAAAACAATACATGTCGCCTTAAATTAGTTCCAACAGGCTTATCTATAAGTTAACCTAAAAGCAAATTAGTAAAACCTAATTCAAACTTAATAATAGCCATTGGCAAATTTCATACTATATCATACAGGTAGAATATAATCTAAAAATTAACGTAAAGATAGTTTATAGCTAGGGGATATATTTGAAACAAATAAATGAACAAAACAACAAAGGCTGTAAGACACGAGATTGCGAAAGCGATGGTGAGATTTTGTTCTAACTTCCTTGTATTAAAAATTGGCATTTCCTTAAATAATAATGCACCAAAATATTGATAAAAAAACCTTAACATGTTAGGGCATGTTAACCAAAATTTAAATTTTTAATAAAAATGAAAATAAACACATACAGATATATTGGGGATAAAATTGGGAGATATCGCAGTGACATGAATAATCTTGCGTAACAAAAGATAACACTACATCAAGATTTTTAAGTATAATAACTTGCAACATACCATTAGGATTTTGAATTGTTTTCAAAATAGTAGGCGCTTGCAAACTTCCAGTGCTCCAAATAGTGTAAGATGAACTACAATTCGTTTCAACGCCTTTGCTGTTTACAAAACGCATTTTGACAACTTTATAGGATTGATGACGAAGGTTTCATGCAAATAATTTATAAAATTAGCATTAATAGAAACCTATGAAACATGTTTAAAGAAAAAATATTGATAATTTTAACATAGATAATGAAATAACAAATGTAACCTAAATAAAGGTTATGTTATTCCCATTAAGCCATTATCGATTACCACAGTCAATGCCACAGTGACGCGAAAAGACTACATTACTTAGCGTTGCCAACTAAGTATAGAAACTTTTGTTTCTTTAAAAAAAAACTATTATTCCAATTTCAACCAAGGTAGCTGAGAGATAAGAATTCAGAAATCATTATAGCTGTTGAAGCGTCATCTCGTGTAAATTTCATAACGCGGTAGAAAGGTTTAGAGTTCACTACTTTAGATTTCTATGCAATATGTGAGTACATAAGACTGCATTTAATATTTAATGGGGATAAATACTGTTTAGAATATGAAATAAGTAATGTAATTTTTCTATTACTATTAAAAAAACATTTCAATATACTGAGAAAGTTTGATTATCTTTAATTTTCCCCAGAACTAATTTTTCAGATAATTTTGTGTGATAATGTGATGATAATAATTTTGAAATTTTATATTTTGAAGAAAAAAAAACGTTTATGAAAAAGCTAGTTAAGAGAAAATTTGTAATTGATATTTTTTTTTTTTTTTTTTGAGANTTTTTTTTTTTTTTTTTTTTTTTTTTTTTTTTTTTTTTTTGCAGTTGATTTTTAAAATATTAGTGTTTTCTCATAGAAATTATAACTTAGATAATTTATTTTTTGAATTAAATTATACAAAAAATGCTTATCTAATATAAAAAGTATCGATTTCTTTAGAAAATAATTTTTCAGTGTTTTGGAGTTCAGACAAAAGACATCAAAGGCATTTTAAAATTATGAATTAGTTTCAATATAACTTTTTTTTAAAATTAATATTGCTGACTGAAATTTATAACGAGTGTTTTGGTTTTAGTAAACAAGCGTTTTTATTAAATAAGATTAAACAAGAGCTTTTAATTTGAGCCTTTGAAATAATTATATCACGTATTACTAAATTTTCATCAGCTATACCAAATAATAAAATAAATCTCACCAATACAGGATCATTACTTTCCATAGTGTCAGAAGCACATATTCTTGTCGAGTTGACATCAGTGAAAAAAAAAATGAAAAAAAATCAGTCATGTGATAATTCCAATAGAACTATTTGAATAGGAACTATTAGAACTCCTAGAACTATTTGAATAGGAAAATTTACTTCAGGCACGTTTTTTTTTTTTAATTTTTTTTTTTTACTAGAAGCAACGTATAATTTTAAAAGAAAAGTTTATGAAAGAAATAATCATAACTTCATTCTAAAAAGACCAACTAGAACTAATTAAGAAAAATAATTAGAATGTAATGTGATTTTAGTGACACATCCTTCATTTAATTTTTTTAAAAAGGTTTACGTCTTTTTTTACGTCCTTATTTGCTTTATTAAGTCTTGCACATTTAGTCTTGCTGTTAAATACAAAAACAAAGTTTGTATAGAAGTGTAGAGAGTTTTAAAACATGAAGAAGTGTGTGCCTTTTGGAGGACAAACAGTTCCACACTCAGCATATATTTTACTTTATAGTCGTATATTTTATTATGATATAGACATCTGACACGGTGAACTGACTTTAAAAATTAATCAGTGTCATCAGTTTAACAAAGAGTCATATTAGTGGCGCAGTTGTCACATACCTTACCTAGTAGTCATCATATATATTATAATGTTAACCAGAATGATATACCGCTGGCACTCTAGGTTTAATACCATTTTTTTCTAATTTTTTTAAATGGTTTGTATATCTTTGATGTAAGATGTGATTTAGTAATTCCGCTTGCGCATAATATTTTCTTTATAGAATTTCATGGGATTAGATAAAATGACTCTAGCGGTGAAAAAATCAGCATATTTTTGAAATTGTTTTCAACAAGTCAATAGATAAATCGAAATTTTGAATAAGGTAATTTATTATACAAGTAATGAACTGTAAAAAAAAGTTTTTCAAAAGCTATACACAGTAAAATGGCGGCTTTCCAACTTTTTTTCCATGAAGTCTTTCTTTTTCAAAAGCGCATGGTTGGACAAACAGCATTCACAAAGTTTGATTTAAATCAATTTAGAATTGCGTAAAATTTTTTTCAATACGTATCAACATTTCAGTAATTTAAAATTAGTCAAAAAATTCACATTAAAATTGTTTTTATAATAAAAAAAACGAAATAAAAAGAAAGTATTTTTTAAAGAATATATTTTGAAAATTAGAGTTCGAATTTGAAAAAAATTAGTGAGCAATTGAGTTCTCAGTCCGACAGACTTGAAAAATGTAACTTAGTAAAAATTTCTTTTGGAGTTTTCTTAAAGAATTCAGTTGACTATGTGTGAAGAGCTGTGGAAAATTCAAAATTAAAGTACTTAAGTGTTTTTTTTTTTCAAAATACGATTTTATCAAAAGCTTTGAGTAGCTAAGCCCCTTAATTGAAATGGTGGTAAAAGGAAAAAAAAAATTCGTTAAAGTCAGGTTTTAGCGGTTTAATATCTAATCATTACGAACGCTGGGCAGGGGTCGAGTTGTCGGACTGCCTGACTGCGAAGCCAATGGTTGAGGGCTCGAATCCCTTTCGTGGCATGGATGTCTCTCTCTTTGTTTGTCCTCTGTTGTGTGAATGTGACCTACCGTATGAACGGGTATTTGCGGCTAGGGTAAAGCTGCTCACCTCCGTGACAAACTCACCAGAATTACATATTAACATTATAATATCTTATGAAATATGGCAGATTTGAGGACAGAAATTATGTAATTTATTTCTTTTATTGAAAACAAAATTATCCGTTTGAAAACATCGCCTATCAGAATAACATGCAGTAAGCAGCTGCAAACTTTTTAACCGGAACTAGATTAGGTGCCAAGCTCGAGATTGTTATTGTTTACATTTCTATTAAAAACACCATCCATAAAATACGTATCGGTGATTGAAACTACATTAGATACAAGATGCAGTTAAATTGTTGCTGTAGTTACTTTGGTATTTTTATGAGCCATTTTTTTCGTAATTATTTTGTGCATAGATTCAAATAAAATAAATTAATAAATAAAAATACAAATATAAAATTATGAAAAATAATGATTAAAAAATATCGATATTTTTTATGGTTCCACTAGTTCAATTACCTGAATTTCTTTGTTCGAAATTATATTCCAAGTTTTAAAGAAACAGAAATTTTTCTGCTTCGTTGCAATTGTTATTTTTGGGACAGAGAATTTAAAAATAAATATTTTAAATGTCAGAAACCTATTTTTTTCTGAGTCAGGGATGCGGTATTGGAATTGCAATCTTACGAGGACAAAATATCTCTTGGACAAAAGATTTCTTAGACAGAATGTAGCGACTAAATTTTAGAATAAGTACTTAAAACTTAAATTATTTAAATTAAATGATAATTTTGAAGCCTGAAATGATTGTGAAAGAAAAAGAAATGACACGAGAAAGTTGTGATTATGAGCGCACCCCTATCACAACTTGTAAATCATTAGAAAGTAGCAACGTTTTAAAGGAATTTTTGTCTACTTTTAGTCTATAAAAGATGCATACACTTAAATATTTACAGGTTCATCATAGCTCAATACAATGAAAGGGATAGATATTCAATCAGACTCTAAGAAAGTTTAATTAAATTTTGGCAATTAATGTTTTTATTAATAATTATTCATATATGATTATTGACAGTTAATAATAATACATTGGCTTGAGTAATGGTTTTTCTAATCGCGTTGAGATTTCCAATGCTTGACTCTAAACTTGCCTCCAGTTACTTGATTCTCAGCTATTTACTTGAAATTAATTACACTAATCTAATTTATATTGATAAATAAGTACTAATAGTTAATAAATAATTATCGAAATTTGATGATTTTGTAGGGTCCTGTCTGAAAATCTATATCCATCCTTTGGAAGTAGTGAGCCTATATATATATATTAAAAATTAATTTAAAATGTGGCAACGAAGTCACGTTTAAATTTTTTTGCGTTCTAATAATCACTTGATTGTGATATTCTGTCCACGAGAGTTCTTCCCCTAATTGAGCAATGCGTACACAAAATACCAACGCCAAAATTCAAAAAATAAATAAATAAAAAAGATATTTAATAAAATACTTTTTTTATAGCACCTAATTCAAAAAAGTTCCTTTCTTTACAATTTTTTTTCTAATTTGATCAACATAAGTTTAGAAGAAATGTTAACATGAAAATACTTTCAAAAATCAATGTTTACATTAGCACAAAAAAAAAAAAAAAAAAAAAAAAACATTGAAATTCAAAATTTTCGTTAAAAAATATGGCACATAAGAAATAAAAAAAATATATGTATATATTTTTTAGAATAAACCACATTATTGGACTGAATCAGTGATTTTTCAAATGGTTTAGAAATGTACCCAAAGGGTCCAAACCTGGTCTTGGAAATTTTAAGGTAAAAAGAGTTCAGAACCCTAAGACATCGGTTCCCAATTTTTTTCGGCTATGGAACCTCAAATGATCAACATTATTTCGACGGAACCCCGACTTTATAACTAAAGTATATAAAGATAATTACTATACGTATTAACCTATAAAATTCTACTTTATTTTGAAAATATTCAAGAAAAAGAATTGAATTTTTTCATCGTTTTATCATTAATAATCTTAAATTGGGTTTTATATCCGACAGTTGAATTCACAGTATTGGAGCCGAATAGAGTTTTATTATTAATTTGTTTTTGGTGTATAAACTTAAGCTGATAATGAATGAAATAAAATGAATTATGATTTTCGTTGATATGCAAACTAAAAAGAACTGCTATAAATGATTAAAATGTAGTAAAAAAAATCTATTTCTTTATTAACAATAGAGTTATTTTATTTTAGTTTAAAAAGCGATATGCTAAATGCTAATGCGATATTTATAAATACGAGTGCTTTTTATAATTTATTCAGGACATTATTTAAAAAATTTTGTGTATGTTTTCCAAAAAAAAAAAAATGCTATTTCCTTCTCATTGGCATTTTTTTAAATTTCCAATGAAGTATTATATATCCAATGATATTTTCCAATGATATATATTCCAATGATATTTTTTTTAAATTCCTCATTGGCATTTTTTTTTTAAAATTCCAATGAAATATTATATATCCAATGATATTTTCCAATGATAT